ATGTCGGAGATTACTAGTCCGAAAAGTAATTCAAATACTTCTCATTTTTGAATTAATTCAGAGTCAATTACAATAAATATGAAAACATGTAAAAACGAATGTAAATGGAGTCTTTTTCCTTGAGCAATCGTCATCATTAGATGAGCGTAACGAATGTGCTAAAGGCTGATGAGCCAACAAGTCACAATTATAAAGTTAAGGACAAAGAAATTTTAGTTGTGCACATATAAGTGTGTGCTACTGTAATATCAGGTTGCGATACGCAGTTGTACGTCTTGAGTTTGTAGTGGTAATGTTCCCTAGCCATATGGTCTTTGAAGCTCAGCATACCACTTGGAAGATTCAAGTTCAACATATAACACTAAGAGAATGTCGATAATGGTGAACGAGGAAACATGCATTCAATAAAATGTCGCGGCTCGGCCTTGCAGGTGTGATCATTCTTGTGTAATATATCTCTTTGATTCACATTAAATAGATTATTGTTCTATCTCCATCCTAAATTTATTATTTAGAAACGCTAAACATTATATTGTTCATTTTCACGGTACGAGTACTCAGAATAGACAATGTTGTGACTTCCACGGAAGACCTTAGGTTTTCATATCATGACAAATTTACGATTTTAGAATGTCTGTTATTATAGCATCATAATTCCTATCCCATAATTCTACAAGTTTGTCAAGACAAGACACAAAAGTCAAGGGTTTTTTTATGGTATTCGAATTATCGTATGAACTAGGAATTCCAGGATTAACGCAATTGAATTAAGAAGACACATGCCCAAACGAATGTATTGTATTTAGAATTCGAAATCAAGCATTCAACCAGTACAAAGGTATAATTGGTTCATTCAAACACCACATTTTTCTAGGGAGATGAAACTATGACAAGACTTTTTCAGAAGAAACTTAGATCATAACATCAAAACCCCAGAGGTTATTGGTAATGATCTTACTTGTGACAACAAAACAAGGAGTTAGGAAGGAGTATGAAAACCTTGCCTGTCTAAATATTCGTTGTCTTAGTTGTTGATAATTGAAAATTCAAGTCGCTGTCGTCTGAATTTATTCTAACGGATACCCAGAAACTTGATGATATATGTTACATGGATATTAGGCCGATTGATTGAAATTATGGGTGATACTTCAACAACAAAAACTTTCATCATAGACTACCCACAACCAACCTCGTACCTTACCCAGGTGCTATAGCTAACTCGATAACATTACAGAGCAAACATGACATTATTACTGAAAGGCACGTGTAAAAAACGTTAAGAGAAACCGAGAGCGATAACTACCGCAGTTAACAATCCATGACCCATAACTTACTGATTAATGCAACAAAGTTTCTTCACTACTGTTCGCATGAAATATGCTGTTTGTCGATTTTTTACATGGAGTAATTAAAAGAACTAACCGCAAATGTGGTGGAACTAAAAAAATATTTATTTTTTGTTTAAGTTAATCATTGTTATTTATTTCTGCGAAGCCACTTTACGAACTATGCGTTCCAAGGTGCATCTGAGGATTTTACTTCCTTATGTTGTTTTCTTGTCGATTATATGTCCTCCATCAAACGGTCAGTATATGTTAATTTGTATGATGCAATTATTCTGAAGGTTTTATCCCTCAGATTACTGATAGAATCGAAACGGCAGTTGTACAGGAAAAAGGTACTGCTTATCTTAACTGTACAGCAGTCATAGAAGAACAACAAGAGTCTGTAAGTAAACATACGCCTTTATAATATTTCGTAAAACGTATCATGATTCAGTTGCGGTTCAACTGGAAAGCTCTATTTATTAAATTCTATGACAATTTGCAAATTTTACGTGTTTACATATATAAACAAATACTAAATAAGAAGTACTACTATACGTTTTGATAGCTGCTAGTTTTTTTATCGTTATTGATCAGCTTATTTGAACTCTGATTGCACCATAATATCTCCAAAATTGTTTCATTTATTTTTCTGGTAAGATGTTCAAATGTTTTTCCGGATAGATTTTTATGCGAAACTTCGAGGACTAATATTAATGGAAATTCTTTATATTATTATTGATATTGCTGACATTAAAATTGATGTCTGTAGCTAGTCATTATAGATGTTATGCAGGTTTTCCCCGCACAACATGAAATATATTTGGCAAATTTACTGTATTTGCCTTAGTCTCGTAACTGCACTTTTCCGTAATTCAGAGCTCGCTAAGATTGAACTGTCACTTTGTTTTCTTGTTTTTTCAATTGTTTTCAAGTATTACTACTACTGAATCTTCTTGGGGTACATTGGTAGTTGGATCAATAATACTAGTTGATCAACCCCAAATGATTGATTCTCCCACTGCGTGTGAAATAATTTTCTGGATGAACAGATAGTCATTTACTTGGAGGATCGTCCATAATTATTTTGTAATATGCTTTAATCTATTAATATGAGTACTTGGAAGCGATAGACACATCATTTGCGTCAATAAAATGTCCAGGAAACTGGATATTTAGTGGCCAGCTCAACCTTTTTCGTGGTCGCCAGCTATACAACATGTAAAAAACTATTTAAACTCTGCCTTCAGAGTTAAAAGATCTGCTTTTAGAAGACTTATGGCGCCTCATGAGGAAAGTAGAGAATCTTCGGAAGTCAGAAGGCCGATGACCCTTCTAACAACTAAAGCAACAAGTTATATAGGTACATGGAATGTTCAGACAGTGTGAAAGACTGGAAGGACCAATCAAATAGCTATTGGAAATAAAAAGACACAACTTGACTGCTACCAAAATTAGTCAAACTCATTAGACCAAAGCTGAACAGAAAAAGATAGATTGTAGAGAGATGTTGCCATACTGTGGTCACGAAGACGAAAATGCTCCACACACTCAGAAAGTTTCTTTGATGCTGTACTAAGAAGCACGTAGAGCAGAGCGCTTATAGAGTGAGAATCTCATGGATCGATGATCATCAAAGCATCCTTCGAAAGAAAGAGGAAGGAAATCACAATGAATGTTATCGAATGTTATGCACCAACCGATGATAGCAAGGACGACAATGAAGATCAGTTTTATGAGAAACTGCAATCGATCATAGCGAAGTGCACATGAATAGACTTGACTATCCTGATTGGAGATCCAAACATCAAAGTCTGACTGGACAACGATGGGTCTGAAAATATCATGGGACGATATGGACAGGGGAGTGGAAGGAAGGTACAAGAATGGTGACAGATTTTGAAATTAATGTGAATTCAACAAAGTGGTTGTAGGCGGCGCAATATTTTCACAAAAGAGTATACACGAGTTTACATGGATCTCAACATATCACACTATAGAGAATCAGGTCTATGATATTTACATCACTAGAAAATTCTGAGTGTCAATGGAAGTTGTGGGGATCAGGAGACTAGTTGATATAGCTTCAGATCACCATCTACTTTGCGGTTTCCAAGATGAAACTGAAGCTAAGGGTACACTGGACAACTGGAAAAGCGGTATTACAAAGGTTCACCACAGCCTTCCTTCGAGGTATTGACAAACTTACCGAATTCAAGATAGCTCTCAACAGCAGATTCCAAGCCTTACAAGGTCTGCTGAAAGAAGTAAGCACTATGTAGGACAACTGGAAAGAAGTCAAAAACCACTACGTTTACTGCGTCAGCAGGTTCTGCGTTGCAACATGCATCATCATAAAGAATGGATCTCTATGGACAGGATTTAAAAAACGAAGAACAAGAAGACAGTAACTAACTACATTCGAACAAGAACGGAGAAAGTCAAGGTACAAGCTGAATACACTGAGGCAACCAAGTAAGTGAAGAGGAGTATTAGAACTGACAGGCAGAAATACGTGGAAGAGCTAGAAGCAACAGTGTAAAAGCTGCAACAGAAAGGAATAGCAGACAACTATATGATTTAACGGAGAAACTAGTAGGGAAATATGGTAGACCAGAGAGACCAGTCAAGGACAAAGGAGGCAAGCCAACGACCGAGATTCAAGGGCAGAGGAACAGATGGGTGGAATACTTTGAAAAACTCTCGAATAGACTAGCTTCACTGAACTCACTGGACATCGAAGCAGCACCTACAAACCTTCCTATAGATGTCATTACACCAGCTATCTAAGAAGTCAAGATGACCGGTCATCGGACAAATAAAGATTGGGGGAGCAGCAGGATCTGATAACATACCAGCTGAAACACTGGAGTCAGACATAGGAGTGACTGCAAGCGTGCCCCATGTTTTATTGAAGAGGATTTTGAAGGAAGAACAAGTGTCGACAGACAGGAAATTAGGATACCTCATCAAAATACCAAGTAAAAGAGATCTGAGCAAGTGTTAGAATTACAGAGGCATCACACTACTCTCAGTATCACGAACGGTTTTCAACGGAGTGTTACTGAACCGGATGAAATATTCAGTAGACGCACAACTTTGAGATCGCCAGGCTAGATTTCGTACGGATCGGTCGTTCACAGACCAAATCGCGACATTACGGATCACCGTTGAACAATCAATTGAATGAAAATCGTCACTATACATCGACTTCTTTAATCATGAGAACGCGTTTGGCAACGTGGATATAATAACGTTTTGGAGTCTTCTTCAACACTATAAACTGAGTAACTGAAAATGTCTTCAACATCATTCGGAATTCATACGACGGAGTACACTACAAATTTGTGCATGGAAGATAGCAGGCATATGCATTCTAAGTGGGTTCAGTGTCAGACAAGGCTGCTCACTCTCACTATCTCTCTTTCTGCTATGACGGGATGAAAAATCAAAATTGGATTCTTTTACTCATTATGATTTTTGCTCAGTATTACTATCGTTTTTTTCAGTGTGATGATTACTCAGTGTAGTATTTGTTTTGTTTTCCATTGTGATATTTTATTCTGTATAACATACGATATTCTTGTAATAAATTAACATGGATTATACTCAGCATGATATGTAGCATGTGATTTCTTATAACTGTAAGTGTTTTTCATATATGTGATTTCATCCTAATTATTAGTCGAAATGTGTGTACAATCAATATATAAATGAGTATATTTTTGACTAGGGTCGTCGTCGCGTTATGGAGTTAATAAACCTTCACTTGTACTTTTGTTCTTACTTTTGTGTCGTGGGAATTGCACTAGTTCCTTGATTTTACAAGTATAAGTAGTAAGTGATCTAAACATAAAAATCAGAGACCAGATATAACAATTGGTGACGCAGTCATATAATTATGAAGACCTTCACATCTAAGGGAAAGCTGAACACCATCATCAGCTTACTGTGAGAAAGAGCGAATCAGCTTCTATCTGTAGAGGAAATTAGGGGAAGACGTTGGTGTTGATAGGTGGGAAATACATTGTGGAAACCAACAAACTGCATCATGAGGCAAGCTCTAACTTTGAATCCTGAAGGGAATCGGAAAAGAGAAATACCAAGGAACACATTGCGTCGAGAATTTGAAGCAGACATGAAGAGAATAAATAGCAACTGGAAACAAGTGGAAAGGATTTTTCAGGACAGAGGATGGTTGTGGGCGGCCTATGCCGTAAGTAAGTTAGTAAGTGGTTTTCTGGTGTCAATTTATTATATGGCTGGATTATCAGTTAATTAGCTTCTAATTTGCGAAAAGTAATTTCACAGTATTCTCTTGATAGTCTAGTGCAGGGGTTACACGTGGCATCCTGTTTCGCAAGAAGTATGAAATTCCAAAGAAGTAATAATACTTGTTTTGCTAAATATCTACAGAAACTAAGTTCTTAAAAAAATAATTAAGAAAGTAAAATACTTTAATTGCGTGAGACATTTACTTACCCGATCATTGTATTTATTGTAACCTATGTTTATAAGATATTTTCACAAGTGAAACTTAAGACATATCAGTTTAGATACGAAACATTATAAACAAATTAACCCTTATCTTAATTTTGGTGAGTATTCAACAAAAATGATCTTAATACCAGATTCACGTTATTTTTGGTCATTGGTTAGTGAGTCACATTTATTTTAAAAGTATGAAAACAATTCAACTCTTGTCTCTTTTGTCATATTTGTAGCAAATTAGTTGGTATCGTACTGTAGACAAACAACAAATCTCATCTGGTAGTACACTTAAAGATCCTGTTCGTCGTGGTCCTCATGGTGTCAGCAAATATGCAGTTAGGTTTCTTCCTGGAAGACCCAACTATGCACCTAATATGGCTGGTGTCGACGTAAACAAACTACGTACCTACCAACTGATTGTTCGATTTGTAGATATTAATGATGCAGATACACAATTCAGGTGTGTTATTGAATTGAGTAAGTTTAGGAAAATATTACTTATTTTAGGACTTAAAGAGAATTTTTCAAAATCTTTCACTACGTTGGGATCGTTTTTAATTTAAGTAGCTGAAATTTTTGTAAACTGAAATTTCTTTTTGATTCCTTGATTTGCATTTAAAGTTATGAGTATTGTTTTGTTTTCTTATTTACATCACCATAGCTGGTTAATGGCATTAATGTTTCTTTTAACCTGTAATACTACATGTTGGAAGTTTCAACTAAATACTCACCATGTTTTTCGATAACTGTCTTTGTTTTGTATTGCAACCAATTACCTTTCTCATTTACTCTAGATAATCTTCAAATTATTGAATTAACTTTATCAGTTTATCTTTATCATTTTATCTTTTATTGAAACCAAACTTGCTTGATGAAAAAGAGTCCTGACATCAAATTTAGGGGTGAATGACTTACATTTCCTTTGTTTCACTACCTTACTCTCATTTTGAAGGTTAAACCATAGTTCTTGTGTCTTCCCACATCTATCTAACAGAAAGGAATAATACCCTTATAGGGTATAATACTGTCTACTGAAATTTTGAACCACCTTGATATTTACAAATTACTAACTATGTACTCTTGAGAACTAATAAAACCGTTTTCAATCATACCGTAATTTGTTTTTAAGTTTATATTTTTTATGCCCATGAACGTTTTATACCATAGTTAAAAATACTACCAAGACCAGCTTAATCGTGAAGATGATGAGCCTTTGGACATTTATTTATTACACATAAAGCTTCTGTAATTCATCTTTATAAACAGTCACTGATAACTCCAGATTACTAAATAACCGTTTGGATCTATTCTCGTACTCTTTTTAATTATAAACTGAATAGCTCATTAGTTTATTTTCTTAATAATGTTTAATATTTAAACGTAATCTCATCGTTTCATCGAGTTTGTTTATCATTGAAATAGTTTTTTAAATTTGTTTGACATTCGATTTTTTCGATTTATCGATATTCAGGAACTACGCCAGTTGATCAGTGGCCTGTAGCATATGGGAATATTATTGTGAAACGCGCTCCTGAAATTCTCCCGGGGTTGACATCCAAAATTGTGACGGAAGGAGACTCTTTAACGTTAGTTTGCCGGGCACAAGGCTCGCCACCACCGATGATAAGTTGGACTAGAGCTAATGGAAGGCCTCTGTCACTTCCAGGTTCACCACAAAGAATTTATGTACGTTTTACTGAAATCTTCCTTATTTTTTTCTAAAAATGGCTGAACTAAAGTTATTTTCAAGAAAAGCTATTGAGCTCATAGTTTTATCTATGTTACATATCAATTGGTAGGACTGGCAAAATTTCAACTTATTTAGGTTTTATTGAAATCGATTGCCTTGATTACATTAATATTCGGTGTTATTAATAATTTTTTAAGAATTCAACACTACATATTCCCCGCGTTGATCGTTATGATCGTGGTGTTTATCGATGTTATGCAGTTAACAACGTAGCTGGGTCGGCTGAATATGATGTAATGGTGGAAGTTAATTATGCACCACATGTTCGTGAGGCTCGGTTCAAGGGAGCTTATGGACAGGTAAATATTACTATTACCCTTAACGATTTGATATTGAAAATAATTTACTTTTGATAAATAAACAGATTTTACTCTATAAAAACACATTGAATTTACTGAAGAATTATCGTTTATTGATCACTGATGGACTTATCAGATATTTTGTTACATAATGACAAAAGCCTCCTATTGATACTTACGAGTTAGTTAAAGCTAAACTAAAAGAAACTTGGACTGAATGGTTAAGACCTTTTAAGATTCCCTGTGATGGTTTAGTTTTGGATGCAGAAAGGCATTCACAATTAGTGTTTATTGCTTATTTAATGGTTCTTTTAATGACATAAGCTGGTCATTTTGTATTCTGAAAATATAACAGACATATTTTTATACCTTAAGAGCCTCTTCAACGATTTTTATGACTATGATTTTGAGCAGTAACTAGGTTGCCTAACTATTGTGGATTGATCTTTTCGTGTTTCACCTGTGATTAGTTGAAATCGTATAGTAAATGTGACCACTTGTCTAGTCTTTTACTGTGGTTTCATCCTATTTATATTGAAACGAGAACCACTGTATCAATCTTCGTATACTTCGTCTTGAAAAATAGGTATTGTTTCATCACTATTAAGTGGCTTCGTTTTTATTTTTTTACCTATAAAATTCTTATTTAGGCACCAGATGGAAATTATGACATGACATTGGAATGCATTGTCAATGGATATCCTGATCCTGATTTATTATGGTATACTGGAATTTATGATCCGATAACTAATAATAAACCCCTATTTGATAATAATCGTTATGAACTTGAAAAAGCTCAAAGTTATGGTTCAGCTGGAACAAATGTAAGCTTCCGTGTTATTAATTCAAATGAATACTTTTTAATATATTGTTCTTGTTTACCAAATGTTTGTTTTATTGAGATCAAAACCTGATCTAGGTTAAACAACCATTAAAAAATCTGGAAGCAGCAGACCGCTGTTTCGTTTTACTACAGAACTTCTCATCAGTGCTCATAGTCGACCCTGAAACCAAGGGTCGATCTTACTCACGACCCGTTAATTCCTAGACCACCGATCCGAGATCCGATTTTAATCTATCCACAATATTGGGCGACCACTGTTTTGTCTTCAGTGGGTACTTTCCTCAGACCCAATAGTGTCGAATGATATAACGTATGGTTTACAATATTTTCCTGTTACACGTATATTAGGATATTACGTTAATAAAACTAATCACGTTATACCAGAACTAGGATTCGTGACCTGAAGTAGTGAACCAGATTAACACTAGTGAATATCCTTTCAATACAATTACAAGCAGTCAGACACAGTGAGTCCAGAGTAGAAATCAATAGTTGTTATAACTGTCCTCAAGCTAGTATTTACAATATATTTTGTATTCACCCTCATAATCATTAGGTAGACAATAATCTCCCATATTTCTAATCTATGATTCCCAGTATTTTTAATCAAACTGTAATTCATTAGACAATCTCTTTTAGACACTTATGACTCCCAAACACTGTGATATAATGTCGTTTTATTTCCCATACATGTTTAACAGCTATAAACGCAAGTACACTGTTTTGTTAAGTGATTTCTTCGAGAATTTCAAGCTTTGTGTTCAGCCAACTATTCATTTGATTACATTTATCTTTGCAATTTTCCTATCTAAATAACTTGTAAAAGTGATAGTATCGTAAATCAAACTACTAAAGACTCTGAATTAAACTTCTAAACCCTTTATTATCTTATTTTTTTCAATGCAATATTCATACTGTTTTTTTTAAAGTGATTTATAGCAGCGTATGACTGTTGGGGAAATGGTTGATTACTTTGTATATATAACACGGATTACTGTAAAAGTAAATACATCCAAGTATTCAGCTAATAGTGAATTATTTCATTAATAATAAATAAGCATTTGTTCCTGAATACTAGTTGTAGTTCGTTTTATAACATCCAGAACAAATCAAAATAATTATAAAGAAGGTGTTGTTAACTGATAAATCAATATAATTCTGGAAAGGGAGTTTTTAGAACAACATACTTATGTAAGTTGTCGATATTTTCACTCCAACATTTTGTCGCGAACTTTGGTAGATATCTAATTGGTGAAGATTTTTATGTCACTAGAAAAGGATTTTGATTTTGTTAGATAAAATATCCAACACAAATAATAAATTAGTGACAGGTTACTAGGATCTGCTTAATAAAGTGCACAATATCGAATGTTTAGACTATCTTGCCTGTGTTTATTTCTTCTGTTCATGCTTTCACTCTTCAGTACACAGGTATTCTAATGCAATATAGATGATTTCAGTCTCGATTCAGTAATTCGATAAATCTATTATCTCTAATTTAGTAATTGGTTATTAACTGTAAAGGAAAATTTCCAAAAATATTTGATTACACATTAGAATTACTTTTGTTAATGTTTTTTCTTCTTTCAAAAATACACTTCAAATTTAGGTAACTGATGTTTTCTCAACTCTACTAATTCGTAATGTACGAGTTGGTGATTATGGAAATTATACTTGTAGAGCGGAAAACAAATATGGATCAAATTTTGTTGTACTCAGTTTATTTTGTAAGTTCAGCATAGAAAATGACAATTTAATTTCTGCTATTTAAAGTTTCATTTTGAAAAAAATTTTCTTATTTCTACTTTCATGTTCAGACAGTGATTCATAACTACAGGTTAGGACAAAATTGAATAACCATAAATTCATCCCAGCGGAAGCAAATAGAAAAGAGTATCAATGGACACATTGATATTATGCCTTCAACTGACTCATGATCTTAACCATTGAAATTACTATAATGTCCACAAAACCCATCTGATATTAGAGATAATAGCCAACAATAAACAGAAAGACCATACTATGAGAATGCACTGTATTCAATGAAGTACTCATTACTTCTTTCTTTGTCGAAACATATACATATATATTTATGGAACATATAAATACAAATTCATATTTTACTTAAGCTTTGTCGACCGATGAATTCAAATTATTTTAGCTAAAAATGTTATTGTATTTGATTTCATTTATTTATGTTTAGATCAATCAATCTGTCAAGGTGCTTACTGTCCAATGCTTGGGGCTGTTTCCTTGGAAGCTCGAGTTAATGAAGATGGAACTTCAGTTATCAACTAATTTAATAATAAGCTATGAAATTGTCACAGTGTTCTTTTTATCTCTATCTTGTTATTTTCGACTTTTAAATTTTTTCTGTCATGTAGATACAATAACTATTTTAAAATAAACATTTTATAATTATACTACTTTCTTCAGTATAGGGTTGTGGAGAGTGTTGAATTTCATTGAAATCATGAACTGATCAATTTTAGACCACCATTAGAGACCTTGAAGCACTTAACGGTCGCTTCTTCCTAGTATGGGACTCCTCAGCAGTGTGCATCTGTGATCACGCATGCGAATACTAAACCTCTAAACCATTGAGCCGACATCCGAAAGTGTTAATGCTTAACTCTAATCGATCCACAACATTGAGCGATATTTTCCATTGTCTATGGTAGGCAACTGCTTCATACTCAACACGATTGAAATCCGCTGGTCACAGATTCTCATTAGAACAATTGAAGATGGTTGCACAATATCGCGGATTGTTTGAATTTAGCCATTAACACCGTTGGATGACAGATCAGTGATCTAGAAGTTGAGTTTATGCGCGAGACCAAAAGTTCTGGGTTAGAATTCCGTGTGCAAAATCATGAATGGGCGCTTCTGCAGAGTCCCATATATATATATATATACTACTTCTAAGTGATAAGTATCATAGTTCCCGTAATAACATTTTCAATGTGACGTTCGCTTTATTTGCTGAATATAACACTTCATACACGTAGTTCCCTTTATCATTTTGAAAAGAGCAAGAACAAACATTCTAGCAGAATAGCATGAATTCATTTTTATTTCGTTGGTTCTCGTCAGCTGCTTACAACCTGTGATATTTAAAATCATAATTAATGGGTTTAAATTACTTACATAAAAGAGTTTGATTGGAAGTTATATTAAAGACATATTCATATAGTATAGCAAGGGTGTAAATAAATTTAATAGACTGTGACAACAGTTCAAACGGCTAGAAACAAGTAAACATTGATAGGAATAAAATTAATTATGATTTTTAAATATCACAGGTTGTAAGCAGCTGACGAGAACCAACGAAATAAAAATGGATTCATGCTATTCTGCTAGAATGAATATAACATTTTCTGATTTTCCAGTTTATTAAGTTATAAATTTTTCCAATATTAAAAGTTGGTCACCCTCTAGATATTTTGCACAAACTTTTTATATCTTCCTTTAAACTATTTTTGTTTACACTATGATAACACACTAGAAATCACCAATCCAAGGAGTAGTTCCACAATAGAAAAATGTGATAAAATATGATATTCTCATTTATATTCTTACTCATATTGAAGATATTTTTATTCATATTCTACCATTCATCAAGTAGATAAAATTATTTAACTTGTTTTACATAGTTATCCTCTTTACATTATTTTCGTGAAATTGCCGTGATTATCACAGCAACTAGTTTTTGTTGCCTTCATACCAACTAGTACTTTTTTCAATGTTTCTATATTGTAATTGAACAAATTCATTTCTTTTCACTCCATGGTTTATGGCTTTTGCTATTGTTCACTCCTATTCGGTTACTAGTAAATCTAGTTGTTGTTTTAAAAAGCCTGATAAATTTTCACATCTTTATCTAACATAATTTGAAGATTGGAAATCCAATTGTTTAAACGTCAAAATGGATTAATATTGTTCATCAAATATAACTGTAATAATTACAAACGCTTCATTATTCCTGACATAACTTGTAATTATGGTAAACGTTAGGTTATGTAGAAAGTACTTTTTAATGATGTACTCAACACAACACCGATACTTCATGACACAGCAATAGTGACCTTTGATTCATTTGCGTCATTGGTTTCTTGCGAGTTTAATAAAACACATCAAACTAAATAAATTTACTCCATTCTTCGTACGCTGTTTTTTTGTCAGTCGAAATGTCATTGGTAACTCGGACAAGCTAAATAACTATTTCGTTCCGTGTCTAGACTCCAGAGTTGTATTCGTCCTTGGTGGGTTTTTTTTACACTGAACCGTGTCTTCGAAAATTTTTAATTAGTTAAACTATTAAAATACAACTCTGCTAAACTGGACTATTAGTATTTGTCTAAACATTTAGTTGGGAGACTGTAATGTATGGACGACCCTTGAGCGGTGCTAAAGTGACCTTGATACAGCTCACCTACTTATTACGGTAACAAAAGGGTTATAAATAGGATGAGGAATTAAAACAAGGTTATTCATCACGAACTGACATAAGCTATAACTCCAAAATGCTGTTCGAATACATGGATGAATGAAGTTTGCGCATAATTGAGAAACTTGCTATCCTTAATTTCATTGATTTGTCCATAAATTATAGTCATTTCGTCTGAATACTTGACTGATACTATAATCAAAGATCTAAAGTTTTTCAAAACTTATTACAATATCAAAAGCGGTAAGCTTTTATATATAGTAATTTATTCAATGTATTTTATTCATATTACATATGTTATTCATAATACATTTAATGATCAGATTTCATTGTATTCATTATAATTATAGCCGAGAAAAAAATAATGGCATGTATTCTTTTTTTGATGAACAATTTGCCTATAAGAGATAAGTGTAAGATGTTTTTTGCAATTATAACAGAATACTAGACGATAATAAAAATTCTCATGACTGAAAGAAAAAGTAGCTGACTTTTAATATTTTTCAGAAGATTAAATAAACATGACTTATTTGAGCTCTCTCAACTAGTAGAGTGATAAGTTATGAAATCTGAAAACGGTTGGTCTTGTGCTTTCATATGACTTGCTGAATATTCACTCCATAGTTTAACTTTATCATAGGGAGAACATTTATCATCAATCTGAAGCAATCTGTTATGTTATTAGAAACTTGACTAAAGCTTTAAAGCTCCCATAAAAAGTAGAACTAACCATACAGATAAAAAAACCGAGATTTCAGTGTCTAAAAGAAGCACAATAATTCAATTATCAGTCATGAAATAGCTAATATTAACCTCTTGTACGTATTCTCTCTTCTTGTTCATACCTTAAGTTTCTGTTATTTAATTAGTTTTACAATACTGCACCTTCATCGTCACTCACTTAGTTCATAGAACTCTACACATTACACAGTCACCGGTCTAAAATTTAATACAGCCGTGGAATACATAATTTGTTGGCGTAAATTATCAGATAAATTTTTGTAAATTAATAACTACTCAAACTCTGCTGGCTTACTACCTAATTTAACTAATTCTGTCTTAACTTAGCCAGTGTGTATTTCAGTGAGTGTTTTTACGATACAACGTTAAAATTCACTAAATCCAACCTGGCCTATATTTCTTCTCATCAAATCATGGAGTATAATTCACAATTAGTTAATCTCTTCAATAACTTAATATTTTGTAGTACCAACTTACCACTTGATTCTTGAGAAACTCATGAATTTCTGTGTAAAGTTTTTCACTTCCCATTTCTCCTTGTTGAAGCCAATTCGTATCAGATTTAGCTCTGAATTCCGCCATGGAATCTAAGTTAGTCCTGCTAGACTCTTTCATTTGTTGATTAACATTTTCATATTCATCTACTGTACCATGTTCGTCGTTTGGAATATGAGAATAATATGGCTGAGTAATCAAAAGTAAGCATACATGAACAGTTATAAAACGACTAATTGTGCAGTATGTATGCGCTTTTTAGCATAAGGTAAACAAATGTACAATAGTAACCATATTATTAACGTAACGTTTGGTCAATAAATCTATCCGTTAAATAAATGTTAGTGAAGTCTAAGTTTAAAGGTTGAGACTTTCTTGAGTAGGTATCCATGATCACGGATCAACTAGAACAATCTCAATATTTCCTAATAACCAATATTATAATTGTTTCAATTAATCCTTGTTCAATTCATAGTGTATGGCAATGATAATTAGAGAATAGAAAAAGGATTTAAATTTTTTTTTAAATGGTAACATAGAAAATCTATTTTGTACCCAATTTCTTCTATTATAAACTTACCTGCTGATCTATTTTTAATTCTTCAACAAAATCTAGAAAGCGAGCACTTTGTAAGTGTATAGTGAGACTTGCGTTTTCCTAAGAAAAAACAATAAACCAATATAAATTCACGACTAAAATTTGATCAAATTTTGCCTAAATTTTGATTTAGGGGTTTCATCTTTGCTTACTACTGATGTGAAAGTATATTCTCTATCCATTGAAAAATTCTAGAAAGTCTGCTTAGGTATGAAGATAGGGTTGACTATGTTACTTTTAATATTCACCTTGTAATATTATTTTTAGACTATCCAGTATCATTATTTTTGGCTTGTGACTAGAAATACAGTCAAGGATATACGTTTTGTTCTGTACTTGGTAACCATGTACTTGAATCCCAACACTGACATTAACACTAAAAAGTGAACCCAGTATCTCACGAAAAACTTCACCACATTACCTAATAAGCACCTCATTTAACGGGTATGGATTTATGTACGTAAGGTTCTGAGATTTCTGGTTGTTGATATTAAACACTACCCTTAGTCGGCTTCTATTAGCATATGTGCATCCTTAAAGGATTACCTAATACCACCTTATATTTTTAAGTTTTATTACATTTGGTTTACGGTTAACAGTGGTGTCCAGGTGGTAGTTCAACTACATATTAAATTTAATTCGACAAAAAACTGTTTCCAGTAAAAAACAATCCGATCACTCAATGGCCATGAGCAAAGCAAGTAATCGATCCATGGTGTGACTACATAATTTTGGTGAATTTGAATGAATTATAGACTTCTAACACCACATAATTGATACTATTTCTCAGTTAGTAACTGATTATATATCTTAAACATACACTTTGTATTATATTCTTCATATTAATAATCATAAATTCCAAACACTTACCAGAAAACTATCTGATCTTAGCATGATTGACTTTTCTTCATCTTTATTTTGTATTTTATCTAATGTTCGTAAACGAATTGGAGGTTTAAGAAGACAAAGTTTATGCGTTCCATTACGTAAAAATCCCCTGAAAATATTAAGCAATTTAATCCCAATAAAAAATAGGTTTTTTTAACAGTGAGATTAGCATCAGTAACGGGTTTTGTGAATATTATAGTAATTTAATAGTTGAATTCATGAGTCAGTTAAAGCTAGATCACTATGGTAAACCTGAAAACACTGAACGATGTTTTATACACTGCAAAACATTAAAAGTTATATTCTGAAAATAAGTATTCGTAATTTAATTTGATGTCTCATCAAATTACATAGATTTAAATGTCTTCTGAATTTCAGGTTGCCAACTAAGTCTATGTACCTTTTGGACAATAATCTTATATAGGTTCAGATTTCTGTTTAAGCATCTTTACAATCTATTGGGAAGGGATCAAGTATGAGATCATACCATTTTTGCTTAGTGTAACAATTCATCTGTATAACAATTAAATTTACATTATTTGAGTGTGATATTTCCTTTGCATCAGTTCACCCCAACTTTTGTTTTGCGTTAATTCCCTGTGCTTTTCAATAACGAATAATCAATTCAAGTTGTAAATGAGCGAATTTCCTAATTAAGAAAATGGGGAGATTTTTTATTTTGAACGGTGAAATAGATCTTTATCTTGCAACAATGTTCGTATTTTTCCTTGTGTTAAGTCATAACAGATATCAGTTTCAGTCTCAGTTATTTCCTAAGTTTCTGGTTCAACCTACTATACAATCACTTCGCAGATGTTAATTGTCGGATTACCTACTAATAAATTTATTTTTCTTCCTGTTTCTATGAAAATTAACAATACATTTATAGGAATAGTTATAGTACAATGATGCTTCCTTTATATATTTCTTGTCTTAATGTTCAGACTATGAGTTTGCTTAAAATACTAATTTTTAACTGCTGGAATATAAAAAATCGATCGTAGTTGAAACGTTGACTCAAGTAGGCCTACTTCTGACAAACAGTCGTTTTCAACCCATATCGTCTTTGTCTTATTTCACAATTCCAAATTCTTATTTTTAGTTCCTTATTTTTTATCGTTAAGTAGACTGAGTTACGCCAACAACTGAAGTTCTGTTATTGGAAATGTATTGAGCTGTTTAAAATCCAAGATTTCATCTTTACCATTACTTTCAAATTATAACAAAACATAACGGAAGAAAAATATTCTCAATTATGAATGTAGACAACGGTAGGTTAAAGTTCAACAATAACCAATCAAGTTGAAGGTCGATAGAATAAGCTGTCAGTCATATGTGAAGAAATTCGAATACTTTCCTTCTACCTAAAATTTATGCTGATGATGTGGTTCAGCAAAATAGTAAGGGTTTCACAATTCAAATATACAGCTGAGAAGACGATACAACATTAAAATCATACAGTGGAGATGTAAATCATCACTATTTAAAAAACGAAATGTACAATAAGTAATGACTAAATAGTATAGGATATTTATTTACCAATCAAATAGACGCAAGAACGACCAACCAATCAAGTGTATTTTTCGTAATTTAGTGATTTGTCGTTTGTTCGGTTTTCGAGAAACCAGTTGTGGAATGAACCAGTTGCCTGATTTGGTTATACTTATTGATCCACCAATAGTGAATACTAAAGGCACTCTAAATATCTGTATGATTAGTAACGCATTCGAATCGTAGTATGGTTTAGTAAGCTAAAAAATCAAAGTGAAAGAATTACGATAGGGGAGTTTAGGAAAGTCAGTTATAAATTTTAGAAACAATATTTAGTTCTGTAATTTACTTGTCAAGTTAAATGAGTATCGTGGATTCCGAACTCTATTTTCTTGTTTATCTCTACTCTGTCTTGTTCCTCTCTGATTCACTCTTAATTGTGAGAATGACCCTGACGTAATATTTTTTCCATTCATCCTTAACTCTTGATTGTAATCCATTACTTGACAGTGTATTCTCTTATCACTTTTCATAACTCTTTAGCTTTGTTCATGATATACTTTTTGAAGTGTTTAAATCGTGATGGATAAGAAACACCCTATTTTTCAATGTATATCACAGAAGAATCCTTTCAAAGCGTTTACATTAATATTCTGAATTATATTAATGATGTTTACAACTATAAAATTAGGGTCCAAATAGTTATCAAAACCGTATGTTCTCTTGTATGTTCTTTACTTTTAGCTGTCACTTATATAAAATAGTTTTGTTTTATGACTAAATTATCTCCTATTTTAATAATTATTCTTGACATAATTTTACATACTGTTTCAATGTTTCACTCAACTATAAATAAAGAATACGAGAAATGATGTGATACATATGACAGCGCATCTGGCTACAAAGGAACATACATTCCAATTCACTTCTCATATAATCACACTTAAACAAGGCGATATTTAAAAGTCTGATAAAAAACGTGTTGAGGATGTATATATTTCATACATGAGAAAAGGAAAGAATGTATGTATGAAGGCAGCATGGATTGATCACTAGACAAATCACTGAACGGATTTGTCTTAGGATATATATTTTTAATGAGCAATGGATAAGAGTTTTGCAAGATAGGTTCAGACAAGCACACATTGACGAGCTCAATTAGAAGAAATGTAAATGGGTAGATGGTCTCAATTAATTTTTAGAATAAGTATCAAATCAACGTGATATATTTATCATATACTATTCAAACAAGAATAAATTTACGTAGGCTTATATGAAGTTATTACATACTTACTTGAGGCGCGTCTTCCCATTTAGGATTTTCAAGAGACATTGTCGAATCAAATCTGTCGAATAATAAGTCATCATCATTGCCAAAACCATAAAATTTGTTAACTGGCATAAGACTAGTATCAGAGCTTCGTATAACTTTAGCCAACCCAAAAATATAATCTCCTTCTAAATGAAATAATGGTAATGGATATTGGTGTACTAAACTTGAATATATACATGTATAAAATAATAGACTGGACATAACTTACGAACAGTAAATCTTATGATAATAATTTATGGGTCAAAATAAAGCTTATAATTAGAGGAACATGAATATGCATAGTTTAGTTATTCAACAATCATGCAATAAAAATAAATGTGTAGTGTTAGTCCATAGATAGATCCCAACAGTTAGCATTCATATTTCTCGTCCGGATATATCAGATTGTATTGATCAGTTAGTTGGATATCAGAATAATTAACTAAAGCTTAAAATACCCTAAAAGAGAATAATGAGTTGCAGTTGTTGACATCAACAATGGGAAGATACAAACCTACTACAAGCACCATTTGCTTACAGACGTATATATTCATGTATGCGAAGTTGTGCGGATTCGAGCGAGAACTCTTTGAAAGAGGTTCATTTGTTGAATTAATGATTTACATTTTAAATGGATCCATTCATACCAGCGTGTATCTTCACTTATTTCTCACGCAATACATCGACAATCCTAATTCGTTGCTATATATTTTTTTCACTTTAATCATATAAAGGATTAGTATTATGCTCCTGACCATAGTTTCACACCACATATGATTACGTTGTGTGGTTTAGGAAATTAATTATTATTAGTCACCATTAATGCAATAAATTGTTTTATGTGTCTTACACAAAATTAAACAAACTCAATTCATCCCAATATTAACAATTGTTATGAATATCTCCCTTAATGAAGCTATTACTAAACAACTAAACAAACCATTGAAGGTGTTTAATTTCCACAAATATTCCATGGATATATAAATGCGGGGTCGTCAAAGAGTCCCATACTAGGACAAGACAATCGTCCAATGCTTCCAGGTATTCAATGGTAGTCTAACTAAGATTAGTTCGTGATATAAACTATGGAGAAACTGTGTTAAGCTTCTGTCTCATGTAAAATGAAAAAGTGTCACGAGATTATTCTCAAGTTAGATTACTTAGATTCTTTTCCAGAACATAGATATACTCTTAATTTTAATTGAACATAAAATAAGTCTGCTGCTTACCTTTTACTGTCAAACCCTTAGCGTCCTTTAAACTTAACAGAAAACCGTCATTTACACGATAAAAAAATGGAAACGCTGAAATCATTTGGTTTGGTATACCATTTGTAGTTGTATTTCTTTTAATTGACATTCGCTGAAGTGTGTAACGATATAGATAATCAGGAGTTAAGAAGTCATTTTGTTCTAGATGATTTGAAGTTATCAAAAAAGAAAAAAACACTGGAAAGTATCTCTAGTTTTCTATAAATTGATCATTATTGTAAACATTATTGAAGGCGTATGAACATAGACTGAACAATTTAGCTAATTCTATAAGTCAACCAGAAATGTTTTTCAATATTATAACTGTCTAAACAAATATTCTTGTGAATATGGTGTCATGAGCTTACATTTCAAATTTTACATAAGTAACAATCTTTTTAGATATTTCAAATGACAACTTGTTATGAAGTTGTCTTATGGAGAGTCGATCAATCTTGTACTAACTTTTATGTTCTCATTTCAAGTCATGGGAGTTACAGTAGATCCCGTTTCCCAGGTATTGTGGCGTGTGCTACTGATGTCGATTGATATAAGCAGTATCGGTCATCAATCGAAATTGAAATGTCTGGCGGTAGAAGGTTAAAACGATCAAAGAAAAGATCGACGAAAATAAAAAAACGATTAGTGTGGAAACGAAAGAATAATTTAGTGTAAGACGATTAAGTGATATTTGCAAAAGGAACAGTCAAGTTTGAGACAATAGATTGACATTTTTCAAATGAAGTATTTACTGTATGGTTCTCAGATTTTACTAAGATATTCTGTGGTTTTGTGTTTAACCTTACTCGGTTGTACACACTTGTGTTCTCATTCACTACAGTATGACAGCAGTACAACAGAGCCGATACCTACATGTTAAGAGTAACACATGCATAACAGTGCCAACGGTTACGGGACACAGACATAGCAACCATAAATTATTCGGTTTATTATATGAGTAATTAAGATGAATTGATGAAGCACACCTTTTCTAATTAACCAGTGATCAGAGATTATTATTTAATTATTTATATTTACCTGAAGATTTGTCAAATTCACCCTCACGCCGTAAAATCATTTTCACCATACTGTGTATGTCTGTTTTCCTATTTTCATCGGACTGGAATTGACGATATACAACCCATTCAAAATTTGTTGGAGTCGATTCAGCTGAACGATATGATCTAAATCTGTATTCCGGTTGAGGTAAAGGCTTCTAAAATACATAAAATATTTTTCAGAAAAATAATTAAGGACAGTACATTGTTCTTTACATACACTGTGAATTAGTTGACCCTTCTGAGGTTTTATTATTCAAAATCTACAAAATAATTTACGAATTGAACTGTGAACATTACCCATATTTACATACTTATCCTCAAACATTTAACTATAAGTTAACTGGTACTATCATTAGCAATGAGATATTTAGTTCTAAGAGAAAACAGGTAATATTCAAAACAAAATGAATTGTGAGAAAAATATAGATTACTGATTACCTCTGTATAAGGTAAGAGACGAACAAGAATTGTTGAACAATGTATATAAGGTGCATTATTTAATGAATCTTCTTGATAAAATATTTCATTATTATTCATGTTCTGAGATATTGGTTTCGGTACTTCACATCTTAATCTAAGTTGATGCCCACCAATATTAAGTAGACCCTGTGATAAAGTAAAGAATCAAATGTAGAAATAAACAGGATATAATCAAAGACTGTATAGAATATATTTACCATTTAATGAATTATGTTCATCGTAAAACATTAAATTATGTATATGCTTCACTGTTTTTGATTGGATTATCAATGACACATTTTCAAATCCTTTTCAACCTAATTTGGTTTATAATTTCTAATTTAAACCTTCAGTTATTCTATGATCAACAGTGTTCAATGCAAAAATTTAACTGATGGTCGGTAGTTTAGTCACAGCTTTCATTTTCATAAGGATCTTCGGTAATATATAAATCGATCCACCACGGTCCGATTTCATGTGTTACTTCCAGTGTATTGTGTACTAAAACGTTTCTTCTTCATGGGATTTAAGATGTTTAAAGTGAACACAAGATATAATTTGATCAAATTGTTTGAGCGGTTGCCTGATTTCAAGATGATAACCACAAACTAATAGCGAATAGCTTTTAAAGCCTTTGATATCTGTCCGTGAAATAATCATTATACGGTAGTATCTGAATGAGTTAGTATCAACGACTCATAAACCATTCAGCATAAATGAGAGAATAAATGGATCAAACAGGATTACTGACCACAAAAGAGGGCTATTAGAATGGACAAATCCACTACTTTTATAGGCTTATGTTCTACAGATTTGCCGTAATATTTTTTTAAAAACATCAAACCGATACATTATTTCAACTTTTGTTGCTTAACTGATTCATTGCATCAGATTAGTGTCCTAATATTCGATTTTTATTATCTACCCGGCAATTTTTGAAATTTTTTTAAATCCCCCCACGCCCCACTGAAAAATAGTTTCCACCCCCAAATTACAATATTTTTCATTCCGTGTTTCGTTCAATGAAATGGCTAGTTGTAAAATTCGTTTTAATTGGTTAGTTATGTCTTGAAAATTGTTATGAAATATCAGTACTTGTCGACGAAGTACATTGGAATCGTCATTATGGAGGAGAGTAACGTGCCAAGTACAACCACTGGTGTTTCTCACGTCACGGAAATGGAGGAAGTCCTTTTGACAACCTTGTTTCTGGTTGCGTACCCATCAGATGAAGCGTTGAAGGCCGCTATCGCAACTTTCGAAAGATCGACTTACAGTCATTATGTAGTGAGAGATGAGAATTCCTATATTAAATTTGTGTGTTGAAGAAACGGGCGTATGAGATCTAGCGGTTCGTCACAGCGTATTAGACGTAGGAGGTAATTTAGTTAATGTAATTATAATTTTGTTCACGAAGGGCTTCCATGAACACCCAATGTCCGGCCTTCATGTATTGTAAGATTATAGACGGGTACTGCACTGTTGTGCGTGGGAATGTGCATCATAATCACGAGTGCAATTCCCTGAGGTACCAAGGTAATTCATGGATGCGCAGGTTAACGGATGCTGGGTTTGAAACTGTCCGGCCACTGCTCATATCTGGTACGGCTTCCTTCCACATTAAGAATTTCGCTTACCAATCTTATGGTAAACTTCTTAATGATGAAGATGTGTGTAATCTGCGGTACAAAGTGTTCTCGCAGGCGAACCTTCCTGGTAAAGTATTTGCGAATTTATAATGGACACCATAGGTGATTACGGGAAATTGAAAGCTCACAAAACATTCTTGGGTGGGCTTTGCGAATACGAATTGAACGATGAGAATCGTCTATCGTATTTCTTCTTCATCCAAAATGAAGAAGAGGATGAAGAGAACCGACTATGCGACATCTGTAATCTTGCGCAGCAGCCGTGTGAAACAGGTGATGTAGTGGGTTCGGTTTTCTGTCATTGTGAAGCAATGTTTCATACCTTCTGTGCCTACGACCCATCACCGAACGTACGAGCAGTGCACTGTTCTATGTGTGGCGCCATTACAAACTAAAACGGGAACGAGTAAAGGCCCTTTTCAGGGCCACCCACAATTTGATTTCCATAATGTCTTCTCAATTTCTTTCCATTAATATCTAACGAACTTAGGTATGCCTTATAGATTAATCATTGATAAGCCATTGTATCTCATTTATTGGTAAACTCGTTTCCGACGTGCATTAGATATAAAGGTTCAGAAAACCCAAATGCCCTGGTACGGCCGAGAGTGGGGAAAGTCCGCTCTCCCTCTCGAAATGCTCTCACATGGCCACGCGTATATAGCCTCTGCCACGGAAGTCTTACTCACTGCCTTCTCGTGGCGGGGGTGTTGTTTACAAAAATGAGAGGACGAAAAGCGAATGTCCGGCGCTTTAACCGGATCCCAAACTGATGGTGCACATGGGCTCCAGTATCCTGCGGGAACAAATGGCGTATGAACCAATCGTTGGTCACCGGCTACCATGGGACTGCATCTCCTTACGATGCTCCACTGCCTTGTGGGTCAGACCTCTAGGTCAAAGGCTAGGGGAGTGGCCCCCTAAGAAAACCACCTGCTTCGGTTTGGGCACCCGGGCATTATCACAGCCCTCGTACATATCGAATAAGATTTGTGTGGCGCATATGTATTTGGTGCCTTCTTGTACCAATATCTATGTGTTAAAATAAATAATAAATAATAGGGAAATGGAGAGTCAACGATTAGATTAAGCAGCTAATAATGAAGTTGGCAGAATGAATATATGCGTTGGCTGTAAACATGTTCATTCACATATATTTCATAAAAGTACAATAATAATAAAAGTACAAGTTGTTATAGTATGGATGACTTTGTCCACTGAATAAGTTAACAAAAACAGCTTAACTGAGGTAAATGAGAATCAACTCAATTGTATGTGAGTCGCTATAAATATAATAAGATAATTACTATGATTAATGTGATTAAAACTCATAGAGAAGTAAACGCAATTATTTATGAAACAAGTTGAAACCAACATCATTGAAATGATTCATGTGACTAAAGGTGGGTGTAAAAAGAAATAAGAATATTATATACGAATATTCGTCAAGATTAGAACGAATAGTTTGACAGTAATTGAGCGCCGAGTATAGAGAAGTTATTATATGTGAAAATTATATTTGAAATATTCTCAGCGATTGAAATTTGACTAATTCCAACGTTTCGTCCAGCTAACTTGTCTGAACTTCTTCAGGGTAATAATCAAAATTATCATAGAAAAAAATAGCTGTTTCATGAATTCAAAATGCAAGAATTTCATATTCCGGTTTTATATTAAAAGTACCTGAAACCAGAACTATGCGTACGTAAGAAGTACATCTGATCGTCAACTAAGCCTTCATTGTTATTCGTATGTAATGATTATATCACCATATTCATTTTCACACTTCTATAACTATTAATTACTGCTACAATCACATTGTACCAGTTAAAAATTCTCATAAAATATTAAAAAATGAAAAATAAATTAGCGAACAATCGTTTTCAATAACTTCATCGTCACACTATACAGTTATAAGTCCATAATTTTAATATTTTATAAAGCACAAAAATAAGGCATGACATTTATGAGTTTGACAATGTAATGTGTTAACAATGATGAACGTTTACATCTGTTACGATATATATATTTACAAATTTGTAAGGTCATTCAATAAAGGTCTGGATGATTTGCAGTAAAGTGTTCAGTCACAATAAGTGACTAAGCATTATAGGAAAATTGAAAATGCCCAAAATTTTGTGTCAATGAAATACATAGTATGAGAATTGAATCTTGTCAATTGAGATAATAATAATAACGATCATAAGGACAGTAAATAACAATAACATTTTATATGTAATTTATGCAGTTGACCTTATTCATATTTACACGTTGAATGTCCATAGATATTTGTCGAGTCAGTCAGACGACGTAGGCTTGTTCATTGACACTTCATGAAACTGATATTTCAAATGCTTGTCAAAAATGGTTACATTCATAATGTCTAGATATAGTTCAGGTTTCATATTACGGCGGTGAACAATATTCACACATGACGGCCTAAACACACACTAGTTTTTATTGTCATAATTTCAAAAGGCAGAACCATAAAGAATGTACAGGTGAAAACAATAAACCGTTTCAATGGATTTTCAAATTAACCACATTTAAATCTAACGTTGTCTAATTCTCATTATGAATGACCATTTACAAAATAATCGTTTACTAAATATTAAGTGTCTATTTCGGAAAATTTATTACTACTTTCATATACTGTCAAAGTCAGTTCATTAAATGATGGTCGACGGTTGCTTCACCTGAATTATAAATATTGCAACCAGTAAGTTATCATAATGATTTATTGATATGCTGATTTCTTTTTCCGATTAACACACCATGTGTTACAAAAAAACCTATGCACACACTTTCGTGATAGTTTGTTTATTAATTTGGTATTAAAGATTTGACTAGCGACCTCATTCAGTAATCACTATGATCAAATATTCAAACCGGTTTTCAGTTGCTTTTTCCCAAAAACTTTCTTTTACTGAGATACGTATAATTATTTGTGTTAAGATAACTAACGACTTCAATTCAAGGTATACTTGATCGGAAAACAAAAATTTATCTCAATACACATTCACTAACAGTAGGATTGCACGGTAATGCAATTAAGTTGGTGTCTTTTTCTTCAAAAGTCTAAATCTTTTTCAGGACTAAGATTACACAAAAAACATTTATTCATTATCATTAAATTTCAAATGTAAAAAAATGAAAATTCTGACATTCAACCACAGCTCTAGATGCGATTTCAATTTCAACTAATCAGATTACAAAGATGAACAGTTTACGACCAATTACAAAATTATTAAAGGTAACAACATTTAGATGGTGGTTGGAAGTAGTCAACAGTGCTACTTGGCACTCGTCAGCAAGGTGTACCTGTGATCTTGAGGGAACTGGTGCTCCCTGGTGGATTCGATCTCGTGTCACCCAGCTTCACAGTCAGAGACGTTACCACTGAGCTATCCGAGCGATCAATGTCATGTGTGATCAATCAGTTGTGAAGGTAACAAAATGTTTGTTCATTATCACTTGAGCACACACTTGGAAAATAAGTCCACCAATCAACGATACCTAAATTTTTCATTCACACACCACAATTTTTGAAAAATGGGTGGTAGGGAATTATATTGGCCGGTCAATTGATGTCGACCCTACTATGAACACATAACTACTACATGCTTTCACAAAAGTCAAAACTGAAAAGACCCTATTTAAATCAATCTATTCCTAATATTCTTCTAACCCAGTGTGTTGATTGATTTAAATAGGGTCTTTTCAGTTTTGACTTTTGTGAAAGCATGTAGTAGTTATGTGTTCATAGTAGGAGCCAACTTTATATCTAACTGAGACTATGATCTGATAAACAAATTGAACGTTGATGTAACGAATGTTATTCAACAAGATAGTCATAGTTACACTAACTAATGTTGAAATTGAAGAAAGTCATGCTAATTTACTAAATGCTGGATGCGATACTAAATATGACTTTATATCAGTTGATTGATCACTGGGTAGAGACCAGTATCATATATGTCAAATCATTCTTAGTGTTGATCGAATTTTATCGAAAAGGTTGCAATATGACCACCAGTCTGAGTGACTCATTATCGTTTTATTCATAAACAAAGATGTATGTTTGCATCCTATAATCAACTTAACGAATAACATTAATCTTAACTACAATAAAATTATTTCCTATTTATTTTAAGTTTTCAAAATCAATCCCATGACAACTTTGATACAGTTAAGCAACTTGTAGGATTCATAGAGAAATATGTTTATATTTCCAATTTAAGCCTACTATCATTCACTTATATATAATTGAATTTTATATATTCAACAATGTTAAACTCTTACATTTTTAATTACACTAAACCTGTTTGTAAAGGCTTTCTCAACTTTAATTGGGTAGCTTTCAATAGTTCATATTATTCAGTTGTTTTTGTAGCTGACTACTTAACTATAGATTGTATAATTTTGCTTCGTAATGAAAGAAAACAAAACTTACATTTGAATTGAATAACTTCAGCAGAACGTTTCCAATAACTACATATTTTAGATTTGTGAGTGTAAGTGTATACACCCTTAGAAATAGTAAAGAGTTCTGGGATAAAGTTTTGTTTTGACTAAGATTAACAATAAAACGTTGATTTGGAGAAAAAACTGGTGATCTACTAGTTTCTCTTATCTCAAAATTTTCTTCTGGTACAATCAAAATGTCCGATAATTCCTCATCATACTTTGTATTTAGTAACCGACCAGTAACCTGTAAATAAAAATTTAATACAAGTTTGATGATAGAAGGATAAAGGGGTTTAACATTACAACTGATTGATCATTGGGTGGTGATCAGTGTCATGTATATCAGGTCTTTCTTAGTGCAGACAGAATTCTGTCGACCAAGTTGCAATCTGGCCACTAGTCTAGGTGACTCAACATTGCGTGCACTATGTTGAGATAAGATGGTGATTGGAAGTAGTCATTAGGAAACGCAATGTCGAGTCACCTATACTAGTGGCCAGATTGCAACTTGGTCGACAGAATTCTATCTGCACCAAGAAGGACCTGACATACATGACATTGATCACTATCCAGTAATCAATCAATTGAAATGCATTTCAGTCCTATAGGTGGTCAGCCGTGGCTCAGATAGCTCAACGGTAACGTGTCTGACTGTGAAGCTTCAGGATACGGGATCAAATCCATCAGGGAGCATCAGTTCCCTTAAAATTACAGGTGCACGTCGCTGACGAGTGCCATGTAGCACAAAATCAAGGGGGTTTAACATTATTTTATCATTTCTATGGACTTGTAACAGCATTGTGACAGATAACTTGAAAAAACATACGAGACTAAAAGAATTAACTGCATTTGCATGATCGTACAAATGGTTCTAAGGTGAGTTGTTATATTTTGAAAGCAGCTTTCATCATTAGTATCTAACGTGAATTGAACGGCTGTTTTCATATATGCACATATATGTACAATAAATAAGTTTACTAAATCATTAGTATATTGATAAATGAGTATATATTCATATTTATGACTTTAGACATTTATCATTGAAGATGATCTTATAGAGAAGAAATTTCTTTGTCATAATCTTCATCTAACATTTAATATCATAACTATAAGACACATTTTATCTTTTGATTGTTGTATCATAGTAACATAGTCAAGCTTCTTATCTGAAAAGTTTTTGTCCCTTGATTTTAAAATTAACGGCAAAAATGAAACTCTGAAGTTAATTACTACAGTCTTGGAATGACTTACAAATCTTATTGCTTGTAAAAATCAAAGTTGGAGAATAGTTAGATTAGTTACTTGGTAATTATTAAGTTCATGAAACAATTTCGCATGCTCCAAAAATAGTATAATGATATCAGCTAGATGATATAATCGGCAATGTTGGATAGATATAATATATTAGGTAAAGCTTACTTGGTAGGGGATAGTTGTGACTGGTTTATAATGAGCTAGGGAATTATTCCTCTAATCCAGATCATTGAACATGAGTTATTATTAATTTAGCAACATATGAGTGATTTATAAAATTTATTATTTGACTATCGACAATAAAGTTTCACTTCTGATCTCGCTCTTTTTTTTACTTCACATGGTTGGTTGTTCGTGAATTTAGTAGTGACAATCAGACACTAGAACATTACATCTAGGTGTTAGACCTTATTTTGTATGTATTAAGTGAGATTTCAGCAAATGAATGCTGATAAATTTCAACTTGTAGAAATCATCGTATTAGGCCTTTTCTGTCATTATTACTTGATATTAGATAAAACCAACAAGGAAGCTGAACGCTCATCTCTTTGTTTCTACTATATTTAAAGACTGTGAGGTAATTTAAAAAATTACTAATTTAAGAGGAAAATCGTGTATACAAACCGGATAGTTTATTCGTGATCCTTTCAGTGTCATGCTAGACAATATCACAATCATATATTTCAAAAATAAATGAGCTATCACAATTTTGCTGCTCTATATTATTCTTTATTTTCTGATCCTCTCTCTATTTCTATTTTATATACTCTGCACAAATGTTGAATCACCTTTATTGTCAGTAGTACAAAGATTGTTCTTGAATATTTATCTACTTTAATCGTATAACTGGAAAATACCTTAAAAATTGTCGAGTTATCTGGCATGAAGCGTAATTGGTCGACATAAATACAAAATGGTTCAGATGTTGAAGATGGTTTCATTAATCTTTTGTATGGTGCAAGTTTTTTGAATGGTACCCATGGATCGTCAATCGGAGTAGCTGGTGGACTTAATTCTTCAATATCCCTAATAAAATACATAAAATCAATTAAGTGAGTTCAGTAGAATCAAAAAGTGTAAAAGCTGCAATGATTAAAAGGCTTACTTCCTGTATTATGAATTTGACAAATTTACTGGTGTAGTCTTTCCGAAGTTATTTATACTAGATAACAATATTAGAAATACTCCTTTATTTTACGTTTAGTTGTGTCATGTTAGTCTTGAAAAGAATTTAGACATTTTAAGAAAAAAACACCAACTTAAGTTCAATCCTACTGTTAGTGAATGTGTATAGTGAGATAAATTTTTGATTTCCGATTAAGTGATTTAATGTCAACCTTCAATTGAAGTCGTTAGTTATGCTGCTACAAATACTTATATGTATCACATAAAAAGCAAGTGAAAACCGGTTTGAATATTTGATAATAGTAATTACTGAATAAGGTCGGTAATCAAATGTTGAATACCAAAATAATAATGAAATTATCACCAAAGTTTGTGCATAATTTTTTTGGAACGCATGGTCTGTTCATGGGAAAAAGAAATCAACATATTAATAAGTCATCATGATAATTTATTGATAACGACATGTATAAATACGGCGAACAAACCGTAAACTATGGGTTAATGGAACGACTTTGACGGAATATCAAAGAAGTAATAATGTTTCCGCAATATGCACGGAATATTTAGTAAATGGTTGTTTTGTAAATGATCATTCTTAATGAGAATTAGAAAACGTTAGATTTCAATGCGGCTAATTTTAAAATCCATTGAAACGGTTTATTGTTTTCACTTGTAAATTATTTGTAGTTCTGTATTTTAAAATACATTTTTCGGTCGTAATAAAAACTAGTGTGTGTTTAATCAGTCATGTGCGAATATTGATAACCGTAATATGAAAACTGAAATATCTAGATATTACGAATGTAACCATTTTTGACAAGCATTTGAAATATTAGTTTCATGAAGTGTAAATGAACAAGTCTACGTCGTCTGACTCAATAAATGTTTATCGACATGAAACGTATAAATATGGATTAGGTCAACTGTATCAATGCACATTTAAAATGTCATTATCATTTATTTTCCTTATGATTATTATTTTTCATTATCTATATCTTAATCGGCACATCCATCGGAATGATGAATCGTAATAACCTTGATAACACCCTCCTTATAACATATGATATGTACACAACAATCTTAATTTCATTATTATTATCTGCATTGACAATACTCCATTCTCGTACTATGCATTTAATTGACGTAAAAAGTTTTGCATTTTCAATTTCGCTCGAATGCTGTTGCACTTATTATGCAGTAAAGTGTTTTCATTGTAAATCCTCCTGACCTTTATTGAATGACCTATGTAATTTGCAAATATTACAATTATATTGCAATATTATATATATATAACGATATGTATAACTCGTAACAGATGCAAACGTCCACCATTTTTAACACATTACATTGTCAAATTCATTAATGGCATGCCTTATTTTTGGCCTTTGTAAAATATGATAATAATGTACTTATAACTGTAGAGCCTGAGAATGAAGTTATTGAAAACATTTGTTCGCTAATTTATTTTTCATTTTTGAATATTCTATGGGAATTTTTCAGTACTACAATGTGACTGTAGCAGTAATTAATAGTTAAAGAGGTGTGCAAATGAATACGGTGATACAATCAGTATATACGAATAACAATGAAGGCTTAGTTCACGATCAGACGTACTTCATAATTACTGATAGTTGTGTTTACAGGTACTTTTAAACTATGTGTACAAAAGAAGTACGTCTTATCGTTATCGTTACCTTGGACTTAATTATTTTGATTATCCTACTATTTTCACAGAATGAAATCATGAGTCAGTTGAAGCTAGATCACCATTGAAAACCTGGAAGCACTGGACGGCCGTTTCGTCCTAGTATGGGACTCCTCAGCAGTGCGGGGTCGTGGATGCGCACTGCTGAGCAGTCCCATACTAGGACGAAACGGCCGTCCAGTGCTTCCAGGTTTTCAATGGTGGTCTAGCTTCAACTGACTCATGAGTTCAACCTGTGAAAATTTCTAAAAATCTCCACAAAACATATCCTATTATTATTATTATTGCATTCCCCCCTTTACTTATGTCTTATATTCTCATTGTTTTATTCGTAAATGCTCATCATATCATCTTATTTATTTTTTACACCTCTATGACCTTTAATTGTTATGACAAAAAAACATTTTAATCATCTTGTGGTATTCACTAAATCTATTGTTATTATTCGTATTATGTAATCTAGTATTATAACCTTTTATTACGTCATCGTTAATTGTATTCACATTTCCTCACAGATTTAGTACTTTTACAAAAACAAAATTTTCATATATATACGATTGTACAGCTTGATAATAAATTCGTTGAAAAGAGATCCCTTCGCTGAACTTCGTGTTTTAATTCTAATGTTTCAATGGGAATTATCTGTCACTTTTAATATAAAACAAGAATATAAAACCTTTAATTGTGTATTCATGAAACGGTTGATATTCTTATTTCTTTTTACACCTACTATATGACCATTAATCACATTAATCATTTCAATGATAATGGTTTCAACTGGTTTTATATTGTCATTATTTTATTCATAAATAAGATAATTTTCTTAATTGTGTTTACTTCCCTGTGAGCTTTAATCACATTAATCATTGTAATCATCTTATTATATTCACTAATCTATGTAGTCCTAAATTCATTGACTTAACAACAAAATTACAATTTTCACTATATTGAAATATTTCAATTGAAATGTACTCAAATGTACTATTATTAGATAGATTACACCAATGTTACTAATACATGAACGGTAATCACATTATTTAAACCGACAATTATTAGATTAATGTTCATTAGATGACAAATTCTAGTATAAGATTTCTTAACCTTTATATCTCATAAACGTTATAAAAAAGTTACGAATACATGAGCGATAATCGCTTGTGGATTCATAATCTCTAAGGCATATCTAAATTCATTTGGCATTAATAAGTGCTTAATCACTTGAGCTTTGCCATAGAAAAAAAAGATGCAACCAAAAAAATGTAAATCAAATTATGGGTGGCCCTGAAAAGGGCCTTTACTCGGTCTCGCGGTCCGACGGCGTAACTATGAGTTGGTTATAGCGCCACACATCGGACAGTTCACTGCTCGTACGTTTGATGATTGGTCGCAAGCACAAAACCTATGAAACAGTGTTTCGCAAGGACAAAAAACCCAAGCAGCTGCATCATTTGGAGGTTGTGCAAGATTACATATATCACAAACGGTTGTCATCATTCTCTTTTTTATATTCGATGTCCCGTTCCCTGAACTCTTCGGAGTTTATAGAAACTACTTCCTCTTCGTCGTTACTGAACTTTTCATCCAAATCCACATTTCCTACATGCAAAACTTTGTACCGCATATTGAATATATCTTGATCACTCAAACGTTTTCCATAAGAATGGTAAGCAAAACGCTTAATGTCGAACGCTGCGGTACCGGATATCAGGAGCGGTCGCACAGTTTCAAACTCTGCCTCCGTTAACCTGCGCACCCATGAATTACCTTGGTACCTCGGGGAGTTGCACTCGTGGTTGTGACGCACATTCCCACGTACAACAGTCCAGTAGCCGTCTATAATCTTACAATACATGAAGGCCGGACATTGAGTGTTCATGGAAGCCCTTCATGACCAAAAATTTTAATAACATTAATCAAATTACCTTTTCCGTCTGATCCTATGTGACGAATCGCTAGATGTTATACGGCCATGTCTCCAGCATACAAATTTAATATACGAGTTTTCATCTCTGCACAAATGCGAATCTCGAACTACATAATGACAGTAAGTTGATCTTTCATAATTTGTGATAGCGGACTTTAACGCTTCAAGCGATGGGAACGCAACCAGAAACAAGGTTGTCTAAAAGACTTCCTGCATTTCCGTGACGTGAGAAACAACAGCGCTTGTACTCGGCACGTCACTCTCCTCCATAATGACAATTCCAATGTGATTCGTCGACGAGTACTGATGTTTTATAACAATTTGACAAGACAAAACTAACCAATTAAAACGAATTTTACAACTAGCCATTTCATTGAACGAAACACGGGATGAAAAATATTGTAATTTGGGGTTTGAAAATTTTTTTAAAGGGTGGGGGGTTAAAAAATTGACGTGGGGATAATCAAAACCTCATTTTCACACCTCTATAACTATTAATTACTGCTACAGTCACATTGTAGTACTGAAAAATTCCCATAGAATATTCAAAAATGAAAAATAAATTAGCGAACAAATGTTTTCAATAACTTCATTCTCAGGCTCTACAGTTATAAGTACATTATTATCATATTTTACAAAGGCCAAAAATAAGGCATGCCATTAATGAATTTGACAATGTAATGTGTTAAAAGTGGTGGACGTTTGCATCTGTTACGAGTTATACATATCGTTATATATATATAATATTGCAATATAATTGTAATATTTGCAAATTACATAGGTCATTCAATAAAGGTCAGGATGATATACAGTAAAGTATTCAGTCACAATAAGTCGAGAATAGTATGATAGCAAAATTGAAAATGCCAAAATCTTTGTGTGAATAAAATGCATAGTAGGAGAATTGAATCTTGTCAATTGATATAATAATAATAGTAATAATATTTTTGTTTGAATATAATCTGTAACAAGGAGGGCGTTATCAAGGTAATTACGATCAAAGAATTGGGAATAATGGATGTGAAGATTAAGATATAGGTAATGACAAATAATGATAATGAGGAATCTTATGCATATTTATACGTTTCATGTCGATAGACATTTATTGAGCCAGACGACGTAGGCTTGCTCATTTACACCTAATGAAACTAATATTTCAAATGCTTGTCAAAATTGGTTACATTCATAATGTCTAGACATTTCGGGTTTCATATTACGGTTAACAATATTCACACATGACTGATTAAACACACACTAGTTTTTATTGTCATAATTTTAAAAGGCAGAACTACAAATAATGTACAGGTGAAAACAATAAATCGCTCCAATGGATTTTAAAAATAACCGTATTGAAATCTAACATTTTCTAATGGAAACCGTTTATAAAGCGACAGTAAACAACTACTTCTTATTAGATAAAGCAAGAACAAATATTGGTGCAGAATAGTATAAATTCATAATATTTCGAGGTTTCTCGTCAGCTGCTTACAAACCAAAAATGTGATAGAATTTTTACATTGAGAAAACAGTTGACATAGATGAGTGTAAATAACTGGATTACAATAATAACTATATATATATATATATATATGCTAGAACAGGTCAGAGGTCAAAAGGAATTAATTCGGGAATGACTATTTACAAAATAACCCATTAATAAATATTATGTGCCTATTTTGGAAAAATTATTACTTCTTCGATATACTGTCAAAGTCGCTTCATTAACCGATGATTTGCGGTTGGTTCGCCTGATTTATACATGTCATCAGTAATTTATCATGATGATTTATTGATATGTTGATTTCTTTTTTCGATTAACAGACCATGTGTTACTAAAAAACTTATGTACACACTTCGGTAATAATTTGTTTATTAATTGGGTATTCAGCATTAGACAACCGACCGAATTCATTCATAGAAATTCTCATTTCTATATTCGCTTTCAGCCTCTTCATGAAAGATTGCTGTTTAGTACTAACAATATCATACCTATCCATTATCAATGTAGCTACTAATATTATTTACACTTGTTACCCTTGGTAGATGATTGGAATTACATACGAACATCAACTAGGGAACCATTTGAAACCACGAGGCACTAAGTAACTTTTTCAAGCTGAATAAGAACTACACATCGTTGAGCAATCATGACACAAAACATGAGGGATTAGAGAACCTCCAAATCAGGAGCCGAATGAGATATATTTAGACAAATGATTTAAAATTCTTAAGGCTATGTTCTTAACATCAGTCACTTCTGATATTGTACAATTCTCATACAGTTTTATAAAATTACTGGTGTATTGTATTCCTTGTGCTATTTATTGTTGAAAATTAACTTCAATGACGGCTCAGTGGTCTAGAGGTTAAGCGCTCGCGCGCGAGACCGGCTGGTCCCTGTGTTCGAATCCCGCAGGGCGGGATCGTGGATGCACACTGCTGAGGAGTCCCACAATAGAATGAAACGGCCGTCCAGTGCTTTCAGGTTTTCCATGGCGGTCTAGCTTCAATTGACTCATGAACCTCACCATTAAATTAGCATAATATGCACAAAAGCCCCATCTGAAAATTAATTAATTAGTTGCGATTTATCCAAATTAAATATTATAAATTATATTTATTTATTTATTTTTTATGAACAGAAATACGACATCAAAATATCATACAAATTTTCTAAATGCAAATACATTTTTATAACTTTGACTAACGGGTATTACAATTTGTGAATTAATTATTCAGTTTACTTACTCAACTTCCTGGTCTATAATTTGTTCTTCTTGAAGATATTCAGCATCTTCAATATTTACTGTTTCTTTATATATCACCTTAGTTTGAACTGATCTAGTTATATAGATAGTTGGTTGTTCTATAACTTTCGGTACTACTTCAATATTAGGGTTATAAAGTCGAAGAGAGATTCGTGACCCATGTAGAAGTTGAAGTGCTAAAAAGTTAAAACAAAATAGTTTTTTTTAGATTTTCGAAAGTCTTTATGTGGTTTTGAATTAATGGGAGTTCTGTTACATTCATATATCTTTACTATATCAATATGAATGTTTATGGCCTGTACATTTATTAGCATCGGCATATAATTAATATGCATTTTAACTAACGTTTTTGAAACACGTTCGAATCATCTAATAGTATTAAATAATCACTATCAGAACTAAAAATTTTCATACATTTTGTAAAGAATGTACAACCTGACACATAAGACTCATAAAATGTTATCGGTCGTAGGACACAGTTGATTTCAGACGTTCATATCTTAAACCATCTACTCGTCATAAAAGTAGGTCATGTTACAGCTAACATACAATAAAACTCTGTTATATACATAGTTCCCTCCACTAACTTGGGAAAGAGGGGGATCAAAGATTCGAGGTAGATGACCTGCATTTGTTTTATTTCGTTAGGTACTTATGAGAGGTTAGCAACCACCATCACACAGTTGAGTTTGTGCCTGTTGAAATTTATTTAGCCCTTTAATTAATCAATTATTGATGTTAGTTGTAATTTGCCTTGATCTTTACACATATATTTCCATTCTTGTATGAATGTGGATGATTGAAGGGATGTGATGCCTATGTATGTATTTCGTCTACCCGCTTAAATCTTTTAATGAGTTTTTTCATGTTTATACATATTTCCTAAGTAAAGTCTATTATTTAATTCGTCAACTCATCTCTCACACTATGTACTTGCCCATTTGTGGTGTGCTAAATTAAACTTACAACAATTTTTTATCGTCTTCTGGGCATTGTACACCGTTTGGAACGGTAATCAAGGCAATTGGCATATGAAGCTATTACAAGATTAACATTTTAAATAATGTTTTACAACGATAGAAATGAAATTACATGTTAGTGTGAGCACATCAATATATTGTAGCTAAGATAATTTAAAATGACCGTACTGCTTCATGTTTGGTTGTGATGGTTTTCATTAATTGTTTGCTCTAATGCAACCTTTTCTTAATATCACAGTATTATATCTTAATACATTTTATAATATTGACTTCCGCTTAAAGGATAGTTATAGTTAATTAGACCAAGTTCGGTAAATATTTCGGGTTGTGACACTAATTGTTCAGTATTTTCTAATATAGAAGTTATTACCTAAACATTAAATGAGTGATGTTCGTAACTTTTTGTTTTACGCTTGTTCAAACATCTAAGGAACTATCACTATCCACAAGAGTGAAAATGTCTAAATGATCACTAATGACAAAGCTAAATCTGAATCCCATGATTTGATGTTATCCTCTTGTAAGTACCCATTTTCATGTATTTTTTCTTAAACTTATTAATGATGACATAAAACTTCTAAGTAAAAACTTCCATGTAGCCTTGGTTGTATTAGTCTCAATGCCTTGAGGTTAAATTTTCTTCGTTAAATAGAATTAAGGCATTGAATGAATATTCTGTTTATATTTTATTATGTACCTCACCAAGATTATACAAATAGGATATTGAATGTAAGAAATCAAACTAAAATAGTTCACATCCGTTTCTCCTGGACAATGTAGTTTTTCGCGTTTCAAAATACTTCTAAACCCCATTGCTTCTCTTTAAAAAAATTCACAATCTTATCTTTTTATAGATAATTATTTCTATTGTAGATATATTTTCACCTTAACAAACTTTATATGTTTCTATCAAAAAAGTATTCCAGGTTTTTAATATGACAATTTCAGTGTAAAAACTGATTGTGTTATACTCTGCTCATAGTTAACTTACGTATAGAATTATCTGTTTCTATGATGGGTAATGAGTAGAAGTGATAAAATAAATAATTGAATGGGATTAACAAATAATCCATAGTCCATGCAGAATCATATAATATTTCTGGATAGGTACCTTGTTCAATTGGATTGATAACCTCACGTGTCCATAATTTATATGGATAAATCTGAAAATACGATTATTATAAGTAGGTATTTACGTTAGTTTGAGGCATAGACTAAATGGTTTATTTGTTAAAGATACAACCGCGAAATCATATAATTTAGGGAATATTATAGATTTATGATTAGATTTACTAGTTAGATTACATAAAATGAAATGAATATGTGCCTAAGTGATAACTCTTCACATTAACTGGATTTGCTGACACAAAATCATAGTGAACAGATCTGAAACTTCTTATTACGCATAAATTGTTTACTAGTATAGACAATATTTGACACGAAATAAAAGATGAAATAACATCAAAATATCTGTGATTTAAATCAATTATTTACACATGACCGTGAATTAGTGGACAATTTTTCACATCTTCCCGCTTTGCTCTCCTTAAACCTGTTCCTCATTAATATCGGTGAATTTAAAGATGGTAAATTCGGTTATTATTGAAATATTTATGATCACACCTTCGAAATTTATCTTTAGGTTAGAAAGGAACTGTTATATCTTTTGCCCTGTTAATTATCTCATGACAAAATCACCAATTAAAACACTGACTCACATGACTTTGGCGCTATGTCAAACCAATGATTTTGAGATGATGGAGAAGATTTGTAGCTCAGGAGGATGATTTTGATGAAGCTTTTTTTCCTCTGAGCTGGATGGTTTGGTCGTAGAGCTTTCATCTTTCTTCTGAACGACATAATCAACAAAAACTTCAGATAGAAGTGAAGTGTTTGAATTTCTCCATATGCGTTTCACAGCTTGTTCTGTGCACCTCGATGTTGATTGGTTCTTATTGACCTTAAATTTGTCATTGTCTATTCTATTCTCTTTCACTTGGTTGACACAGGTCATCAAGTCGAATTGAATAAAGCTTTTAAGGTTATCTACAATATCCCTTCAAATTTGCCACATGGTTTACGAGTGCGCCTTTTGCACATTGCGGAAGCCATCGCAATCCATGTTCACAAACCTAACCTTTGCATTCAAAAGAGATTCGTACAACCACTTTCTCTGCCCTGGCTATCAGTTTAAGATTTCCTTCAAAAGAACTATTTTTCATACTTCTTACACTTGTTTTTTTTCTAACTTTTGTAATTTTGTTTCTGCTGCTTTTGAACTTAATAACTTCTCAACATTCATCTCTTGATTCTTACGTAACTACCATCCTATTGACCATCCGTTAAAATTCTGTTCCTTCTGTGTTTCTTAAATTACTCAACGTAGCAACTTCTTGATCACTTTGATTATTAATAATCCTCTTTCTTCCAATTAATCAATGTTAATTTAAATGTCATTATGCAATTATTACGTAACGTATCTACTCGATGAGTATTATATTATTATTGCAAAACGTATATATATTAGTGTAGAGCCATGATGAAAAACTAATTGAAAATAAATTTCTTCGCTCAATTCGTCCCTTCTTTATTGTCTACTTTGCTGGACAAAGCCGACGCCCCCCTCACTTTCGCCTACATGAACATCATTAGCAGTCAAACGCCATGATATTTCTTCACTTATATAAATACACGTGGACAACTGCGGACACTCATTCGATTGGAAAAATGTGGAAATCTTGGACAGAGGAAATTCCAAAAACACCAGGGAATCTTTGAAAGCCTGGCACTCAGATCAATCAGCAATCAACAAGCACATTGAAATCGATCCAATTTATCAACCAATCAGGAAAATTATGCACAAATATAGGAACAAAAATAGAATCAATGGGAAACACAACCAAAATAAAGAAGTAAACGATGACAAATTTATGATTAATAAGAAACAATCAACATCGAGGTCACAGAACAAGCTGTGAAACGCATATGGAGAAATTCAAACACTTCACTTCTATCTGAAGTTTTTGTTGATTATGTCGTTCAGAAGAAAGATGAAAGCTCTACGACCAAACCATCCAGCTCAGATAACAAAACTTCATCAAACCAATGATTCGTTGACTAGTACATGCAGCCTAGAGTCAACTAAAAGTCCTTATTCGTTCCTGCCTTGATTTGCCCTGCCCGTTAAGTTCAGAACACAATCTCAGCTTCACTGTATGAATTGTGTATTTCAGACATAAGCAGTTTATATGCAAGCAAATCAGACCTCATCGCACCATAAAATAGGAAATTACAATTATACAAGAGCAAGTTAAAAGTGGCTATGAGTGTGAGATACTGTGACTAATAAATTGGGAATAAGTTAAAAATGGTACATCGTATAATAGTAGCCGATAAGTCAAATGAAAGCTTACAATAAGTGGAATATAAATATATATAATCTGGTTACTTAATAGTTATACAGTATGAATATATGTATAATAACAGTCTGTAAATAATTCCTAGCAGTTACCATTCATTTATTCTTCGTTAGCATAAAACAAGTACCATAATAGTTTTAATGTCGACCATACCATACTAAGTAACAAATTCTTTCAGCAATTTCTTTATCTGTTTACAGTCATGAATTTTCTATACAAAATAATATTCACCAACAGTACCCACTTAAAATAATAATTATGTTACTTATGTGGAAATAAGTAGATTTTAAATTAAAAGATTACTAAAATAATATTGTGGAAGTTTAATCAGAAGATACTACATTAATTGAGGAACCAGTGAGATTCAGAACGCTGGTTTGTTGATTTGGCTCAGTTCATGAGATGGTGGGGAAATTTGTAACTCAGGTGGATAAATTAGGTGGGATTTTGTTCTCTGTGCCAGTAGATTCGGTTGTGAAGCTTTCATCGTTCTTCTGAAAAATATCATCAGCACAACTCTAGGTGAAGTGAAGTTTACCAATTATATCTCAGTTTTAATTTGGTGGGAAATAAGTATGTTTGATAACGGATAGACCACTTTTCGTAATTTTTTTTCACTCACATCATGTTTTAGATTTAATTTTCAGTCTTAGAAAAATATTACTTTAAATTTTCCTAGATGTGTTTACTCATGAAATTTAGTGGAATAGCTTTTAAAAATGGGGTCAGATAGAACTATCTTTCATTCGTTTTTGAGGTAAGAGAAATCACATACATATATCTCTTTTTATTAAGTCATCTCAATCAAGTATTTTTACTCTAGAAAAGATTGATGCAATAACGACTTATGGACTGAGCAACTTACCTTTCAGACAAATATAAATCAATCCTATCAATGTTTGAACTAATTGTAGTTAATTGAGCATCAATGATATTTATTTAATTAATTCACCTACCTTTGAACCAGTTTCGTTAACAAATTTGGAGTTGTCTTTCTTAGTAAAACATTGTATCTGTGTCCAACCGAATGTTACCCAGTCATCTACAAAATAAAAGACTGGTTTCAACATGAATCCTCAACAGGTTCAAAGTTTTTAAGTTCTAATAAATTTATATAGGTTGTATATGTTGGGATACTGTGTTAACGAAACTTGAAAACGAGATGTTTCAAGTTTGATAAAATTGAATAGGATTATCGTTATACAGATAACTGATAACAAGCTACCTGTGTGGGGCGTGACAGTCTATCACCTATGCTTTCTAAATTATTTTAATAACGCGCATTCATTAATTAATGTCAAATGTGAAGAGGAAGAATGAATGGTTCTTTGAAGTCATTCAGTAGACAATTTCTCGACGCAGAAATAAAGGATAGTTTAATAATGTAATAAAATTACCAAATTAGTTAAATAGTCACTCACTATTATTACTTTCTTCATCAGTATTTGGCTTTTTATATTGTAATGCAACACGAATATACCCAACTAATGAGGGTTTTACATAATTTTGCTCATTCATAGGTTCGATGATCTTAAGTTTCTGTTCCTATAATTTGACAACAAAATCAGAAAATTTAATTATTTGGAACTGTTTCTACTTAATTCAGCTGTAAGTAGTATAAATATTCATAAACTATTTTCCCGTTCATGGTTTAGGATGTTAATTTTCATTTATTTTTCGTAGACTATACATTCTCGAACTTTCTTAGTTTCCCTATGTATATATCGATTGAGTTAAATTCTGTAAGATGATGAAAGGCTATCCAGATGATTAATTAAACTTCTTAACAAATACCCCAAAATGTACGTTGAATTTTAAAATTGTGTAATCACTAGCACGTAATTAAATAATAATCAGTAATACTTCCCATTCGTAATGTCTAAATTACTACTTATTTAAAAGGAAATTTAGCTTACGTAAACAGTTTAATGTTTAATGTTTAATAACTTTCCGAATTTAGTAGAGGGAAAAGATGCTGAACATTTTTATCTAATGTCATATGACAAAATTCCAAGAATTGAAAAAAATAAAGACATTTTATCACCTTGAAGTACACAGTTTAGAAAATGAAAGGAACAATATTCTTCCAAACGTATGAGTTGTATTTCCTTACATTTAAAATTTTTATTTAAGAACAAAGCAATCTAAAGAGCGTGGTGAACAAAAGTGATTAGTCGTTCAAAGCGAACTCTGTCTTTATTGAATCAAATCCAATTGTTGTGTCACTACGGCATTCAAACCTAGCCATTGGAGATTGGAATAGTTATAACTTCAGATAACAATCACAATATCAAAGCTGTTTGGAGAAACTGTTTATCGCTTAGAGTGACCATGAATACTTTTTAGTGGCTGAGTAGTGAAGTTTATGAATGTAAGTTTTAATCATGGAAATTCAAAATTATTCATTGGATATATTTGACGCAGTAGATGGATATGGTATATTGTTACGTCCTTGATTTGTCTACCGAGTAATATACAGGAGAGAACTCTTCTCGATCTAGGTTAAGGCCTTGACACGATAGGCTAAGTGGTTTTACCTTGAGGCTAGAAATGCGTGAGTCCGAATTGAGACTAACGACCTTGGAATTACAATAGCTTTGGAACAGAAAAGGGTATGGTAGTGAATCATACATCAAACGAAGGCATATGTTTCATAGAATAAACTAGGGATCAAACTAAATGTTAGTATTTTACACACTTCCAATGTTTATCATGGCTTCTTTGTTTCTCTATTCATATCATATTATAAAGAATTCAAAATAAAATAAGACTGACAATCAAGAAAAGGATTTTGGAACTTTGAGCATTTTGTGGAATACTTCAGATAAATTACATAAAGTCGTATTGATTCAATTGACTAACACTTCCAAAACAAATGGAAAATCAAGCAAATTTTAAAATCTCGAATATTACAATAAGCTGTTAATATTCTGGTATTGTAACAATATGACCATAAATAAAAGTTTAAAAAAATTAGTATTCTGTATGCCGGTGAATAAGTACTTGAAACTGATAGATCAGACACTTTTTAATGTATTCGTGCGATAGTGTAGTTATCACTATACAGTTTTTGTAATTCTTTGGTCCATCAAGAAATCATTAAACAATACAAATACAATTATTAGTAATGATAGATTATATGAACTTTAACGAATTTGTTTGCTTTTTCGGCAAATCATTTAACATTACTTACTTACGCCTGTTACCACTCATGGAGGAGAATAGGCCGCTCACCAGCACTTCCCATCTAACTTTGTCCTGGACAATCCGTTCCAGTTTTTTCCAGTTGCTGCTCATCCTTTTCATGTCTGCTTGCAGTTCCCAACGCAAAATGTTCTTTGGTATTCTTCATTTTTGTATCCCTTCAGGATTCCAATTTAGTGATTGCCTCATGATGCAGTTTGATGATTTCCTCAATGTGTGTTCTATCCACTTCCAACGCCTTTTCCTAATTTCCGCCTCAGATGGAAGTTGGTTTGTTCTCGTCTACAGTAGGCTGTTGCAGATGGTATCCGGCCATCAACAGGCATTCAGTATCTTACGTAGACAATTGTTTACAAATATTTGTACCTTATTGATGGTGGTTATAGTAGTTCCCGAAGTTCCAGCTCCGTACAATAGGACTTTGATATTGGTTGATATTTGTTTTGAGTTCCCTATATTGTTCAAGTGTAGGAATGTGGCCCTTGATTTGCTATTCCTTGTCTTTACGTCTGAATCAGATCCTCCTTGTTCATCGATGATGCTACCCAGATACGTGAAACGTCCCACCCCTTCCAAAATTTTGCCATCAAGTGTGACTGTGTTGATGTTCTCCGTGTTATATTTGAGGATCTTGTATAGTATCGAAAATTCAAAACATCCTATTATCTATTAATTTATATTTCAAGAGTACTGATTAATTTCAGCCTTTTATTTGCTTCTATCCATTTGTAATAATAAAAATAAATTGTTTATAAACAAACTATTAAAAGAGTGACCAATAAAATTGAAATTTACCATAAAAGCGTAAGATTGTTCCATGTTAAATTGAAACATGGTAATATACATTTTAGATTGTTCTTGTATGAATGATGGATATGAATAATTTGTAATTGAATTAGGCTTATTTTTACCATAATCTTCATCAGTAGAATAAATCTGATCTAAGAAATCATATATTCGTGATATTTTCCCATGAAATATAATTGTCGGTATAGTTTCAGTCAAAGTACTTTGTTTTATTTCCTCTTCAACAATATAGTCCAGTTTTATACGAAACAAATCAGGGGGTAAAATCTAGGTGAAAAAAGAATAGATACTTATAAAAGAATAAGCTTCAGTCAATAGACTATATACATAGAATCACTAAACAGAGCATAATCTGCATATATTGTATCTTATTATTGTTTCTTTACCTACGAATATCATCAACTGACTTATAGTTATCTTTATCGACAGAACACCAATCAAACTAAATAACTATTATGGTTGTTATTATCTTATATTTCTTGACAATGAAAATATATACGTCTATTGTTATTATTTAATTCAATATATTATGTGTTTCTAGTTAAATTGTTACTAATCTATTCAATTGGAGAATACACTGATAAGTGCACCCATGAGAATGTATTATGTTACCTGAAGATATAAATAAATTGGTTGTTTTATGATTAAAAAAATGAAGAATTCAAATATGTTTTATCATTGACACCCTGGATCTATAATGATGAAGTGAGACTGTATCTGGAACTCAAGAACAGATACATATTTCAAATCGGGAATAATGCTTCAAGGTTTGACTATATTTATTATCATCTTTAAGAATAACATAATAACATACCGTCTAGTAGTCTATACTTTTACAGTGATACACAAACTGTTACAGAAGAACTTACTTTTCTTGAATCTGTTACTGTTGTTACAATTATATTATGTATAACAAAGTCTTGTAAATAAAAATTGACATCTTTCTTCGATGTTTCTTGTATTTCCCTTGTTAATGATCTATAATTAAGTATTAAAGTATTTAAAAAATTTTTATTTGATACCTTGACAGATTCCAACAATGACTTCAGATGCCTTCAAAAATCAAATCACTATGCTTCTCAAAACATTTGATAACGAAGTGAGACTATAATTTATGGACGATCTTTGAGAGTGTCCACCTAACAACTAAGACCAAATGAGGGTTACAAAATGTGTGAGGAATTAGAATTATGATTCACAGTTGATGGTTAGTGTTAGGAATTAGATTTAAGGTTTTCATCACGAACTGACATAAGCTGTAATGCCAAAAACGCTATTTATCCAAATGGATGCGTGAATTTCGCACAAAAATCTAAGACCTGTTATCTTATACCTGATTGGTTCAGCCATAAATTATAGCCTCTCCGATAAGCTTTTTTTTTAAAATTTGACCATTATTGGATTTATTCAGTATTATATTTTTGGTAAAATATAGAATTCTCAGCACAAAGTATTTCAACAAGTTTCCTCTTCTTATTTCTTGATCAATCGTTGCGACGAATATAGAAGTTCAGGAATCAACATCTGAATAATGTATATTCTTTTTCATGCTTATTGCCAACCATCACGATGTCTCCGGCTGTACATTTTTGTAACTTGTACAGCGAAATGTCGTAAACTTTTCACAAACGCACCTGAATAGGTTGTGGGAGTAATAGGTATAATGATGTGTTAAAACAATCCAGAAAACAGATAACATTTTCTTGCAAAAAATGTACATTCGGAGACATAGTGATGGCTGAAAATAATCATCGAAAAGAATATACATTATTCATATGTCGATTCCTGAACTGCTAACATCTAACTGGTGACCACTCAATATTTGTCACAACGATTGATCATGATATGATAAAAGGTAACTTGTTGAGATACTTTGTGCTGAGAATTCTATACTGTACTAAAAATCTAATACTGAATAAAGCCAATAATAATAATATACATAGAATCACGGGATATACTAAACAAAATTCTTGATAACATTTCAGTTACACACTGATTGCTTTGTGAATAAATGTGAAACCAAATACTCATTGGAAGCATTAAAATGTTTTATTTTTTTCTAATTTTAATATAATTTCATCAGTAACTGGAATCATGTAGATCAATATTAAAAACTAGAGAGCAAATCACATCAACTTCATCTTGATTACTAACTTTACAACAGTGAATATTGATGATTTCATAGTGCATTAAATTAAAGATATTCAGTTACAGTACATCTTGTAAGTCGATATTCAATCGTCTATGATTTTAATTCCAGAAAATTTGTGAAATAGTATAATAACCTTTTTCATTTCTAATCTGACTGTATACTTAGATTATAGCTTTTATTTCCTTAACTTTTCAAGATTTTATCAAGCAATTTCGTATACCATCCAGCTACTTATGTTATCCATCAGAATTACAATAACCTAATGAATGTACATAGTAATTAAAAAGAACATTAATCGAAGTGGATTAAGTACAAACTTTGGTTGATTACTGTATTCAGAAGCTTAGTTAAGAGACTATATTATCTGTACTTGGAATAATTCCAATTTTCTAAACATTTATTCTTTAGATTTCCATCTACTTTATAGGCATATAACTATCTTTATATTAAATAATAAAACAAAAACTTCCAGGTTTTCCATGGTGGTCTAGCTTCAATTGACTCATGATTTCAACTATTGAAATTACTTAAAATCTCCACAAAACCCCTTCTGATAATAATCATCTACTCACAAGTGACTGACTTCAAGAAGCATTTCCTGTAGTTCTAGTGAGAAGCCGTGACCAGTGGAGTTCGACTGGGTTTGTTGTGAGATAGTAACTCACTGAAGACAATGGTTTACGGTGGCGCGATTTCGTGGATCGGTTGAAGTTAAACACTAATACCGTTGGATGCCGGCTCATTCGTCTAATGATTAAGCGCTCGCGCTCGAGACCGATAGGTCCTGGGTTCGGGATCGTGGATGCACACTGCTGAGGAGTCCCATACTAGAACGAAACGGCCATCTAGTGTTTTCAGGTTTTTCAATGTGGTCTAGTTTCAATTGACTCATGATTTCAACTATTGAAATTACTTAAAATCTCCACAAAACCCCTTCTGATAAAAACTTAAATCTTAATCAAATTCATATTGTATTTCAGTTGCATACTAAATTAGTAATAAACTTTTAAGTACACTGTAGGTGAACATATCAATTTAACCTGTTTCTAAAATCTTTTAGAAATTTAGTAACTATAATCACAATTTTTAGTTGTTTAAGTAAAAATGCAAATTTTACATGATGTATAATGAATATATAAAAAAAAATTACGTTAGTGTATTATCATCTACATATCTATGTATTATTTATATTAGATAATTTGTAATTAATTTTCATTCTATGATACTTAGATGTGTTCTCATTCTCATTGGTAACATAAACACAGATTAATTTGATAGATAGATAGATAAACATTTTGATAGTATGTGTATATTTATACCGAATAGTGCTTTTTTTTTAATTTATGTTTACATAACAGCACAAATTATCGTTCAGAACTTATCTTCTATTATGGTTACCCAACTTAATGTGTAAAATATGAATACTATTATAATTTATGCGTACTAAGGTACATCATATATATATCATGCTAATTTACATGCAAGTAAATTTGTTAGTATCCTGATTATTTTTTTGCTTTCATATTTTCTAGTACAATGTATATGGACACTGATTAAATAATGAAGGTTTGCTTATTCATTATGTGATAAATGTAGATTGTTTGTCTTGCCAAAGATTAATTAGTCTAGTTAAATAAAGAATAATTGATAATTGATTTAGTGAAATTCAGTTTTAAAGTCAAATCAGAATCAGATTTAAATAAAATAAAAAAGTATTATGTTTATTTTGAACTGACTAAAAGGTTCTGATAGTAAAACTTAAGTCTCATTGTTTCCATTGTTATTGGCAAAGTGTAATGTATCTGAAAGTCTTGGAAGATTTTTAATTCCAATGAATTTTGAATGTTTAATAGCTAATTGTTCCGGTTTATAAGAAAGGATAAAAATCCTTTTGTAATATTGAAATAAAAATCAATTTAACTAATATAATGTCTACAATATTAATCCCATTAATCAACCAATACATAACTAAGATTTGTTAACAACAAGCTTAGGAAACTCGTGCTTATTTCAGATCTAGTTATGAATGCACCGATCAAATGCTCACTTTCTATCAAGTTCTAGAACATAGGTACACTTAAAAGCATTTGACTGTTATTGTATTTCTTGACTTAAAGATGACATTCGACTTTGTAGACCGAGAGATTCGGTGATAATGTTTGTAGTATAAGATGTATCAAAATACAAAAACCTCATGAAGACTTTCCACTTGAACGCTACTTGTCAAATCAGAACTCATGATTATTTATCATCAGAAGTGTCAACCTTATGTGGTGCTCGTCAGTAATGATAACTATCCCCATCTCTAATTAAGTTCGTAATAAATGAACTCTTAGGAATCACTCTTCAACTTTCAAGGGTTAATATCTTACCAGGAGATTCACCTGCTGTCTTAGAATACTCAAATTACATAGTCCTTTTTGATGAAGACAAAGTCTTCAGATGCAGAATCTCCTGATTGCATTGAGCAATGGTACAAACATCCTTACTATACGTCTACTTTCCTCCAAGTATAATGTTTTTTGAAGACTAGTCTTCGTCAACGCGTGAATTAGTGGTTCGTACTGAAATAGTTAAGCGTATTTATCACTTCACATATCTCGGAAGCCTCATCATCCCTGGTAGGCTGTTGTTTATCGAAATCTTTGCAGAGTTTTCGAAAGCTTCGTTATCTTTTATCAACTCATAGATTTCTAGCCGAACTGTACAGAACACTTTTCTACTTCAAATCGGGTACCTTCCAAATATGTAGCTTTGGGGAGAGTCTCGTCTGCTAATTAATGTGCGTGTATGTTGCACAGCACTATACTCTATATTAATTTGTGCTTATGAAACATTATCTTCAACAGTAGAATGGATGCATGAGCTTTAGGTGTTTGATCTTACGTGTTCTCAGAGTATTGCTCCAGTAGAACGGGACAAACCAAAAGAAGATGAAACATCACTCCATGGAATCACTGACTACTGAACGGAATGAGGTTGATAGATGTAGATCACTTGATTGGCATCCATATGATGACTGTGATAAGTGGTTGGAGATACTGGATGACACGGCTCGAAATCGATCACAATGATGAAGATTAATTGGTTATGTTATACCTGTAGGTTCTGATTTTCAAAATTATTTTATACTTTTTATCCCAAAAATTAATTTATTTAAATCGTATTTTGTATGTCCAAACGTTTTGACTACCATGGATACTATCACTGCTTCTACTGCTTTTATATTCCTCTTGATAATCTTATCTCTCTATGTTGACGTCGTGCAGTAGCTTTGTTTGATACATGTTTGTATCAGGTTTTACTTTTCTTATGGCCAACTGACTAACACTACTCAACATACTACAAAAGGAGTAACGCTAACTCGATTAGTTAAACTGTTGATTTTGGCAATGTGATTGACAGAAGCTGTTGGTAATATTTATTAAATTTTTAGTTTTCCTAAAGTCTTATGAAAAGTGATAATGGACTGAATAATGTAATAAAGCTTCCAATAATAAAACATTGTTATTCTTCATATGATAACAGTGATCTAATCCTACTTTGGTGTCAACATCAAAGTCTCGAACTTATAGGAAGGTTAGTCAAAGCAAATTACTGAAACTGTCCATTTATTCTAAACATTATTATTTATGAAATTAGAAACATATCTCAAGCTAAATCAAGAATATATGACATTTTTTTAAGTAGCTTGAACAGAGAATTTAAATAGAATATACATGGAAGATTTTTTTACAGAACTCATGTAAGCATCCGAGGAACTGAAGAAACTTATGTCATATTGTCGAACAATAAGACAAAACAATACCTATCATATAACCAGCAACCTACCAATTATGGTGACTAAAGAATATTGCACACAAATAAATGGGATCAGAAAAATAATTTCTATTAAATCTGTGAAATAAAAAAGCAATCAGTAGGATAAGATAACGGAAATAATGACCGTCAGTAAGGTGTTGTGGAGATCGAAGAATTTCATTGCAACCATGAAATGATTTGAACTAGACCAACATTGTAAACTTGGAAGCACTGGGATGTCGTTTTGTTCCGGTACGAAAGACCGTGATCAGTGAAGCTAGCCCATATCCGGTATGAGGCAATTATCCACCGAAAACAATGTCGCAGACTGTGTCGCAGAAGTTAGACATTAACACTGTTGGATATCAGCTCAGTGATCTAGAGGTTATGTGTTTGCGTGCGATACTGAAGGTCCTAGGTTCGATTCTCAAGTGTTGGATCATGGGTGAGCACTGCTGAGGATTCCCAAGTTAGGATAAAATACCTGTCCAATGCTCACAGATGGTCTGACACTTATTAGTTTATGATTTCAAATAAATAGTGACATTCGAGATTTGTTACTGAAAACACTGTTAGTTTGTCAACAAATCTCTAGGACTTAGAACTCAGGTTAATTATACACCGTTGACATAGTTTCTGTAAACTACAATACATATGAATCTTTGGAAAACTAGCCATATAAAATTTCACATAATGCATTGTATCTACTGTTATGTGCTAATATACTAAACATTACCTCGAAATTTTACTTAGTACAAAGTACTCCGATAACATATGCAAATTTTATGTAGTTCATAACGTAGCTGAAAATGAAGTTTGGTAATACATTGTACTTATATTCAGAAGTACTCTTTCCTAAATATTTACTTTTGAAATAGGAATATAATGTTATAGTTATAACATTTAATCAAATATGCGTTCACGAAGCTAGCCTTGATTTAAATTTCATGTACAGATATATCATAATATTTGACCCAATAACATTCAGACTAGTAATCAAGTGATTGAAAACGATATACTTTAAACATTATACCATATCACTGTCTAAACTTATGACCATACAATAAACTTTAGTTAGTGGGTTTTTTTTCTGATATCCTTCCAAAATATTAACTGTATTAGTTAATTTATTAGGTGTTGTCAAACTGCTATACACTGATGCCGAACCCTAAAGTTCTTTGATGAGATCCCATGTTTAATTTTAAGGGTTCTCTGACGGAGACTCTGTATTCATAACAAGATAGTTGCCAAGTGCTCTCTAGTGTTGAAAAGATTTTTACGAAATGTACGTATCAGTCTGAATTCCTTTTTTTAGAATCAAGCAGAAATAAGTAAACTGACGGAAATCTAATTCGTGTAAATAAATTAAAAGATATCATCATAACATATAACTTACACTAATTTCCCAGAAAGTCTGTTTAATTTATAGTAATCATCATCTAAAACTTTATGTAAATGAATCATATTCCATGTTTGAATTATGTCCTTCGTTAGAAGTTTATTCGGTCCATGGTTTAATAGCTAAAGTTTAAAGATAAACATGACCAAATTATTTTCAGGTAATATAGTTTTTGATGTTAACTGGCTTATGAAGATGGATTATTATGCAGAGTAGAATAAAAGTTCATATATTTTGTCAAGCAACACACTCAATTAAACATGGATTTACATTAGTAGTTCTGGTAAACCTTAAGATAAACTTCCATTTGGTACGTAAATCACTGATAAGCGAAATAGTAATAGGTGAGAAGAACACAGAATAACACTACTCAAACACAAATACCTTTTACTTTATTGCTAATAAAACATCATATTAGCATAATTGGATGGTGTTTAGTTATGGAATTCAGCAATCATGTAATTCCAATGTCAATATCAAGGCGATCCTCACATAAATCAAAAGAGACTGATCGATTGCAGTCCATAACATCAACAGAAAGATTCAAGCAACCAACACAAATGAACAACATATTATTTCTACTGATTTTAGATTATTCGAGGTTACAAAAATTTTATTTATCTTCTAACGTACAGTTTATTTATAAAATCTCTCATTAAAACTCATTTACTAAACAGTACTTTCAGAACGTGGTTGAGATGTGATAGAAGAGTTTTTTTTCAATTTTCCACTTAGTAATAGTGTAATGGACATACATTAAATAATTACTTACATGATACAATTATACAGTGGTATCATTAATCTGATATTAGTTGACGATGACACATCAATTGTTAAAGTATTCCATCTTTAGTCATAAACTAGTTAATCCTTTTAATAATGTTACTTTGACAAGATAGTAGCCTTATTATATGGTTCGATGTCTGTTCATAATATTTCAAACCTGGTGAATTATCATTATAACCTTGGTAAACTACATCAACAACCGGAGACGTATTTGTTCTAAAAACGTTTAGAGTTGAAGGAGGTACTTTAAATCATATTGTTAGTAGCTTATTGAATGACATTTTGCATATCTCTTCAGTAACTCATTATATATATATCACTGAAAGATTCGTTCTACGTAAGAGTTTGATTAACCATCGAAGTATCAGTCCTATACTAAAATGAATGACTGGTCACAGGTTTAGTGCATTCAGTTATAAAACAATCTGTATAGATCTCTATTCGAAACTCCTTTGATAGCAACATTAATTTTGTCTAAAAAATGAATGGATTTAAATATATATTTCAACAGAACTAATCAATGGAAATAAATAATCTTTTCCGCATAATCTGTCTCCTATATTTAATCTGTTACAATGTAATTTGATGGAGATTTCTTATGAAATTTTCAAATCCTTATTTACTTAAAGATTTTACTGAAGACGATTTTCAAGATGACAATAATACATTTTCATACTACAAATCGTCTTTAAGTTGATTTATTATAACAGAATTCGATTAATTTGAAATCCAAAATGCTTGTCTTTGATGAAATTGTTTTGACTAGTTCGTTATATTTTAATCAATAATAACGGGAATATAAATAGATCTTTAAAATCAAAATATTATAGCAACTTTCATTTATACGAAAATGAAAAGAGTGACACGGCCTCAACTTCATCCTGAGTAGATAAAGAATTAAGATACCTCAGAGGCAGCGTGAGAATTAAAAAAACGATTTCATCATACTAGTATTGCTCTATAGTATGTTATTGTTATAGCCCAAAGCCGCCAATCAGAAGCAGCAAGTTGTCGATCGGACCAAGGACGCGTAAAACACGTACGAGCAGCCTAGAGTCCTGACTGGTCGTGCTTTCCGCCTAGCCCAACCAGTTAAGTTCAAAACACCAGTCTCAGCCTCTGCAATATGAATCCTTATATTTCAAACATACTGAGTTTATATACCAATCAAACAGACCACAATGTAGCATAAAATAAAAATAACATTTGTGCAAAATCTGGCTAAATGTGACTGTGAATTTGTGAGGCGGTGACTAATAGACAGGGCATAATTCAAGAATGGTAAAACTTATAATAATGGTTCATAGGTCAGAATAAAGTTTATAATAAAAGGAATATGAATAGTTTAGTTACTTAACAATTATACGATAAAAATATGCGTTTAGTATTGGTCCATAAAAGGATCCCAAAAGTTACTATTCATTATGTTTATCGGGACCTAACAGTTATACAATTGACTTTCTCATTGAAACTATATTGTCATCTTCTGAAGTGAAAATGTTTAATTTAATAAAATTAATATTTACATTTAAACTTACTTGTTCCATGTCAGTAAAATTATTAACTTGTAAAATATCTGAGCCTAATAATACAAGGATTGTTTCAGCGAATTCAATAATCACATCACAATTGAATGAATTTAAAAATAATTGATCCCAAAAAAATAATAAAGCTATACTGTTTACAGTGCCAACAAATAGCTGAATAATAATAAAGAAACATAAAATAAAACTCAAATTAATGGGAAGTTTCTAAAGTGAATAATACAAATTGTAAGATATCAACTACTCATAATGTAGTGTGTGCTACTTATATTGACATAAGTAGCATATGATGTTAGTCGTGAACGGAAGGTCTGGCAGAAGAGAGAAAAGAAGATCGAACAGTAAAGAATGGAGACAGGATGCAATTTGTATGAAAATGCAAGAACAATGAAGTCTGAGTCATTTTGAGACAATCAGTGGGCATTTTGGAATTAAGCACTTACTTTATGGTTGTTAGATTTTATTAACAAGTCCTGTAATTTTGTGTTAAATACATTAGATTATTTCCACTGGCGTTTTGCTCGCTACAATAATACCAAATACTAAAGTACATAAATAATAATTTGATGTTAAATTAGATTTCATTTAGATAATCCATTTATATTATTCGAATTCCTTATTATTATTTTGTGGTTAGGGTTTTTTAGCGAGTTAGTTTTCTACCGGATGGAGTCACTAAATATCCTCCTTTATCCGGGCTTGAGAACGGCAGTGGCCCCAAGGGGGCTCCAGGCAGAGGAATATGCTTTGATATACAACACAGAATGCACCAATAAAATCACATTTGATGGAGAAGATTTGGAAGATGTAAAATCCTTTACATATGTGGGCATCATCACTGATGAACATAGTGAATCTGATGGAGATGTGAAGGCGCGAATCAACAAAGTATGAGTAGCATATCTATAGTTGAAGGACATCTGGAACCCAAAAAAATTGCCAACAAACACTAACTTCAGAATTTTGAATACAAATGTGAAGACAGTTCCACTGTATATGGCGGAAACTTGATGAACTACGAAAGCCATCATCCAGAACATACAAGTGTTTATTAACAGCTGTTTACTCAAAATAATTCGGATCCGTTGGCCAGACATTATCAACAACGACCTACTATGGGAGAGAACAAACCAAATTCCAGTGGAACAAGAAATCACGAAGAATTACTGGAAGTGGATAAGACTCACATTGAGGAAAAACCTAACTATGTCAAAAGGCAAGCTGTCACTTGGAATGCTCAATGCTAAAAGAGGAGAGGAAGAGCAAAGAACACATTACGTCGAGAAATGGAGATAGACATGAGAAAAATGAACAACGATTGGATGGAACTAGAAAGAAAGTCACATGAAAGTGTGAGTTGAAGAGTGCTGATCAGTGGCCCATGCTTCATCGGGAGTAACAGGCGTAAGTAAGTGAGCAAGTAAGCATTCCTTGTCAAGAGAACATTTGTGTAAGCTCACTTGTTTTGTAAGCTAAAAACATTTTTGGAATTATCTTCAGGTTCTTTTTTTTCTTCAGATCATTTTAATGATAGGAATTTGTTTATCTGATTAGTATAACAGTGTTGGTCATCAATGGATTTGAAAAATATTATATAACAGTTCGTTTTTTTCTTTTGAATAAAATATATCTCAAATCTTTCCTTAGTTTTCATACATTTACAAATTACAATATTTATATAAGACTATATCATAGAAATGAATTTCAAATAGCCTTTTAAAAATTCTTTGTAGAATTGTCCGAAATCACATTTTTAAATTAATGGTTGCCATAGTCGTTAGATAATTTATGTATCACCCTGTTCTCAGTTTGAATTTATTTCAATGTTAAGAGTAGTGTGACTTCTTGTATATGTGTGTGTATGTTTTTTAACATATCACTTCAGATTATATTTTCAGTTACCATTTGTTGTTATTAAACCCTGTACTCAATTGATCTTCCATAGTTATATGTGAAAATGTTTTGACATGCTTATGTATTATTAGATTGTTTGAAATGTACTGCGACATATCAGTCTTTTTGTAAAGATCAAATCAGTCTTCTGATCACACTTTCAAAATTCATTTAATGGATTAATTGCTTTATGAGAATTCCCTAATTATAATTAAGATAATAGTACCTCTTTTGAATATTAGACTATTAAACATAAAGTCTCTTATTAATGTTGTAAGCATCATTCACACAGGAACTATTGAAAATATTTAGGTATTTATTATGAATATGAATAAGTATTTTAATGTAATTCTAAAACATCATTAATAATATCATTATTTCTAGGTCTGTTCCTATGATACATCAATTTAGTACTGATTATCTCTGGTATTAGTACATTATCCCTTCACTTACGCTATTGGTCTACAAATTTTATAAATTCTGGTTAGTATTTGATACTGACTGACCTCAGCTAGATTTAGATAAGAAACAGGGAAGCACTGTGTAGCTGCTTTATTCCAGTATATGACTCATCAGTAATGAAGACTTATGACTACACCAGTGATTGAACACAGAACCCAGAAGTGCTTAACCATTAAACCACTGGGTTAGCCTATCGTAATACATATTTCCGACTTAAATCAATTGTAATTGCAAGTATCACATCATGAGAAGTTGATAGCAGCGTTACTGTCATAACATTTTGACAAAACATTTTATTTGAATAAAAAAGAAAGTTGTAATTTATCTACCATAAAGTTTCTAAGCGTATATGGGACTTTGTAAATGAGCGGAAAAGACTTTGCTTCCATCTTGTTATTAAAGAACTTACAAGATAAAAATGGCACGTAAACTAAATCTCTATCTTACTCTTAAACAATCCAAACATAAAAACTCAACACAATCACTTACTTTATCGAACCACTGTTTTAAGAGCCTGTAAAGGTATGAGTTTTCATTTTCAATTAATGTATTTAATCTTTGATCAGTATTGAAATCATTCACATTCATCATTTGACTTTGAAATACCTGCAAGATTTATTCCAATTAATCCGTCGAATTAATAAAGCATAAAGTAAAGATGATAAGTGTCTCTTTAAAAAATCAGTTCAAACAATCTCAACTATAAGATCATGTCCTTTAATGTCATTCTCATGTTTACATCATGAATTCTTCTGGCTATTGAAATTATTGAGTAAAAACTTCATTCGTTATAGTTTAATGAAGAATTTAATTGCGCATAACCTTGAGTGTTAGTTCTATGTTGAGTAGATGAATTACAAAATAATGGTCAAATTATGTTCTATTTGCAACTATACATAGACTAATATTCTAATTCCAACGTATGACTTATCCCCTACCTTAAATAGAACATGGCGAAGGAGTTGACAATTAATACATTTGAAGCACAACCATCGAGACTTAATATTTTATGCAACAGATGGTTAGTGGTTGAAACTCACAGTAGAAACAGCAGATATGCAGAACTACTTAGAATAAATTCCCGAAAGTAAAGTACATTACTTCGAAGTCATAATTCATCAAGTTTTTAATTCTAAAAGCTTATGATTAACAAATGGTTTCAGAAGAATGATTAGAATGTACTGTATTAGGTTGGGTATAAAGTAATCAAACTAAAATATGCTTATTTGACATTTTTATTACATGAATTTGCCATCACTAAAAGGTTGCTACACAGTGGTTAGATGAACTATGAATCCTAAATTATATGGGACATTAATCTGATGTTTATGATAAGTGTTGGATTCAAACGTTAATCGGATATTATCTCAATATTTGTACTGTTCTCAGATTTTACACTTTGTTAATATTTTCAAACTTAAATTTTGTCAGTAAATGTTTTATATTCAGATTGGATCACTTGTACTTAAGTATTCATTATTTATATTAAAGAGTTTTGAGGTTCATGGTAGGCTTTACTTTATAACAAGAATCTTTTGCTCAACACGGATGCTATGATATATATATATATATATATATATATATATATATATATATATATATATATATATATGGTTAAAAGTATAGATGAAGAATTTTATAATTATTCCTGTATGCAGCTGATATCTAGCTCATTTAGAAATTGATTTACTTGTCATACTGTTAAGCGATAATTACTTAAGTCATTAGCATTGTTATAGATTAAATTCTAGCACGAAAAGTTACACCGATATAAAAAATTGTTGGCATTTTCAATGCTATTTTATTATACCCTGAATAGCTTTAACTTCAATTCTTTCAGAGCTGAATACGCACAACTCCTTACCTACAAACTAACCCTTAAAGTAAACCCATAAGATTTTATGTAGGTGAATAAAGAAAATAACAAGGTACAATACAATCATAGTACCCTACCCTTTTTGTTTATCACTTAAATCAAATAAACATATCAATGGTGGGAAAGATTTATAGCTCAGGTGAATGATTTTGATGGAGTTTTATTCTCTGAGCTGGATGGTTCAATTGTGGAGTATTCATCGTTCTTCTGAACGACATCATCAATACAAACTCCAGGTAGAAATAGAGTATTCAAATTTCTCCATGAACGATTAAAGTTCAACAACTAACTGTATCTTATTTAAAACTTACTTCGAAATCCAATTTCTTAATAGGATTATTATTATTATTATTATTAGAATTTCGGAGAATAAATTCTTTATGAACATTTTTAATATGCTGAATACATTGTAGTTGACTGATATTGTTCATTGTTTTTTCAATTATATTATTAACATTATTATGATATAATCCATACTTTTTACTCATTATATCAACAAATATACTTAAACATAAAGCAAACGAATAGATTTGAATACCTAGAATTTAAAAAGAATTTATCAAATAGTTTATTACCAGAACGGGTTTTATGGAGATTTTAGTAGTTTCAGTAGTTGAAATCATGAGTCAATTAAAGCTAGACCACTTCGTAAAACCTGAAAGCACTGGACGGCCGTTTCGTCCTAGTATGGAATTCCTCAGCGGTGTGCATCCACGATCCCGCCCCCCTCGAGATTCGAACCCAAGGCCTATCAGTCTCGAGCGCGAGCACTTAATCATTAGACCAATCAGCCGGCATCCAACGTTGTTAATGTCTAACTTCAACCCATCCACTTTTGGATGGTGGTCTAGCTTTGATTGATTCATGATTTCAACTATAGTTTGTTTTGTATACTTTTGATAGTTTGATGTGCTATTATATAAGAATGTGATATTCTTAAATTATTGAGCAGTTTATACTTTCTTGATATTAGATAAACCTTGCCTATATGTATAGGTGTAAAGTAATCAAATTTTTATCACTTCACTAGTTTGATTATCATATAATGTTAAATAATAAATACAGCTGGATAATTTAGATAGTTTATCATTTGAAATTCGATAATGTCATTATACTTAAGTGGTGAAACTTTGTTTGATTAACATGACAAAAGATCATGTTTTGTTTTTATTCATTTATTTATTTATTTTAATAAGCAAATAAAATACATTTAAAGTATTATAAGTAGAGATGAATGCTAGTCATCATCCATCTCTGCTTTTAACGTTTGTAACTTAAGGATGCATATATGCCAATAAGAGACATTTATTGTAGTTCTTTGTGGGTAACATTATTAAAAATTGGAACTAATATAAAGAATACTGTATCAAAATCAAGATCACGCGTAAGCGAATTAGTAAATATAAATCCATAAATATTATTCTAAAAGAGATCTTCATCGGTTATGCAATCAAACCACAATATTCTTGACGATTTCCATATCACTTTAGAGACAAGGGTAGTTATCCACGTATACTGAGTTATGAAACTTTATTGTTGGACTAAATTGTAAAATAATACTTTTAATATACTGCTTTAGCTATTTCTCAGTTTAAAGTAGTTTGTTCTAAGGATAGTTATGAAACATACTCCATTGATTTTGTGAGTTTCATCTGATTTAAGGTTTTACGCTAATTAACTTGACATTCTGTTTACTCTCAGAAGGGGTTTGTGGAGATTTTAGAAACTTCACAGATTGGAATCATGAGTTAATCGAAGCTAGACCACCATGGAAAACCTAAAAGCACTGGACGTCCCTTTTGTCCTAGTATGGGACTCCTCAGCAGTGCGCATACAATTTTACTCATGATATCAATCTGCGGAATTTCTAAAATCTCCACAAACCCCTTTTGATACTAATCATCTGCTCACTGGTGACTGACTTCGAGAGATACTCCTGGAGTTCTAGTGAGAAACCTTTACTCGTGGAGTTCAACCAGGTCTGTTGTGAGATATCAGCTCACTGAAGAAAATGGTATACGATGGCGCAACTTCGTGGATTAGTTGAAGTTAGACATTAACACTGTTGGATGCCGGCTCAGTGGTCTAGTTGGTTAAGAGCTTGGCGCGAGACTGATAGGTCCTGTGTTCGAATCGTGGACGCACACTGCTGAGGAGTCTCATACCAGGACGAAGAGGCCGTCCAATGCTTCCAGGTTTTCTAATGTGGTCTAGCTTTAATTAACTCATGATTTCAATCTGTGAAATTTTGTTTACTTGTCAAGTCGCTTTCTATTTATTAAAATTGTCTGCTAATTTCGTGAAGCTAAACGGTAACAAGTTTGAGCTCACTTTCTTTTTCCATATTGACTATAAAACTTGTAAGGATATTTCACCCGAAAGATATTTTTCTGTTTGAAAACTTTTATTTTGTTGTATTACTAATTCAAAGGTTAAAACTGTATATAAGACCAATGAACCAACACTTTAAACCTTAAATTCGACACAAATTACATTTTGAATTAAACTGGAGCTAATAAACTTGTTATGGAACATTTTACTACTAGACTTTAATGAAATGTCTAACATAATGTGGTCGAATTAATGTATCAATTTTCTTGTGGGATGTTTTAACTATGCCATATAATGAATTCACTATGAATTCATTTACTGGCGTCATTATTTTTTTCTAATATAATAAGTAGTTTCGAATCCCCAAGGAGATATTAATTCTCCAGTGGTCATAGACTCACTTTTCTAATGAATAATAACTATCTAAAACCTATTTCAAAATAGTGATGCAGATTATTCTGATCATTTAATTTCAAACTAAATAAAGCATAGTCATCATTTAGAATGGTAATCAAATTCCAACTTAATAGATAGAATCTAATCAGTGCTAAGAATGAGACTATGCCTTAGTAACCAATTAATTTAACATTATAAAATACATAAAGTATTCAATAATATAAATGATATTACCTTCATCAGCTGAATTAATAGAAACTTTTGTTGGTATATCAGGAAAATGTTTAATTAATTCATAAATATAGTCTTTATTAAGTGCAAAATGTATAGGAAGAAGCCAATAAATATAAAGTGGATCATAAATTTGTTTAGCTGTATAAAATACATTTAAAATTTTCACTGATTGTTCTTTGAATTGTTTAAATTGTTTTTGTTGATTTTTGAATTTTGTTTCAAGTTCTAGACTGATCTAGAAAAATAAAATAAAATTTTTCTACAGTATTATTTTACTTATTTTATTCATGTAATAAATACATATTATTTTGCATTATCAACAGTAGTTTACATTCAATGAAAAAAAAATTGAGGTATTATCATTATATGTAATGTGACATTAGTAATGAGAAAGATTAGTTCATCGAAGAGTTCTCTTTTTTTCGGTGAATTCATCGTCAAAGCTGTACAATCGCAAGTATATTTACCTATTTTTACAGGATGATGATAATACTGATAATAAACTTCTGTTAGACATGGTAACAGTGAGGTTAAATAAAAACCTTTTTTGATACCTTTGTTTATTTTACTTAACTGTCATCATGTCTAACAAAAGTTTATTATCAGTATTATCATCATCCTGTAAAAATAGGTAAATGTACTTGCGATTGTACAGCTTTGAAGATGAATTCACCGAAAAAAAGAGAACTCTTCGATGAACTAATCTATCTTATTTATTGTCTTAATGGGTGCATTTCGCTTCCATTAGTAATGATCAAATATTTCACAATATAAAGTTAAGTTAGCTTTCCAAAACTCCTTTTTCATAATATGTCATTTAAAGCAATGATGAAGATGATATTATTTAAAGATTAAAGTATGTAGGATATAGATAATCTGATGTAATCCATAATTTCTATTGTCTAATCCATAAGATCTTTTGGTGAACCAGTGATCGCAAATAACGTACTGTCTAGTGGTTAAATGATTGTTTTTTTTTTATTGTATAACATAGAATTACGTGATGATTAAGAAGATAATGTCATTAAAATTAGTACTTACATTTCTTCCATACAATAAACATGTTAATTTTCTATTTTATTGATATGAGTATTTAGTTTTAGAATGTAATCTAAAATGTCTATTATTTGATAAAACGAACATATACAACAACGCCGTTATAAAACTATGAAGTTGAAATAAACATAATAAGAAGCATTTGAAGCGAAATTACGGTAGATCTGTTTACGGGAAACATTTATGGATTGACTAGTTAGCACACTTCTACACCTAAGAGCTCTATTAATAAGAGGACGGAGTTAATGATATCTCAAGAAATACCGATCCGATGAATTTACAATTCCTATATCAGAGACGAAAAACCAAACGTAAGAAGTGCTCTTATCAAAAATAAATATCCATCAAGTTTTGTTGATACGATTTTAAAGCTCAAATCTCCAAAATAATTAATAATCTATATGCCAAAAGAAAATGCTTTGCGTACAAATTGATTTCATAGGTAAAAAATCTGCAAATATCTTGAAGATGAGAATTTTTAACTCTCACAAAATATACATTTTTTCTCACCAACTTTGAGGTTTCTGTTCTACACTCGATCGATGTTCAATGATAAATTTAAGGATAAACTTATGTATCTAGTCACTTTAATTCGTACTGAGCAATTCAACTGATCCTGTTGATATCTTGGTGTATTGATCGGCCAGTACTTATTCTTTTCAAGCAGGTAAGGAAATGTTTTTCATAGTGATCTCAAAGAGGTGTCAGTGGATTCGTAAGAACGCGGCACAATCGATAAAAAAACAGGTTCACTGTTCAAAATCATCTGTAAGTTAAAATACTTGAGGGAACCAGAACGGTAAACACTAAGGAAGCTAGTTCAATCTTGCCTTAACCCATAAATTTTCATGCTATCATCCTCTCTCCACTGCACTTTTGAACTTGAAACGTAATTTATTTCCTTTGTGCTTTCATTTCTAACCACATTCCACTTCCATTTCACTACTCTATCTTATCATATCGCTTAGCCAATTTCTATAATGATTAATCTTTATCGAAATTCAATTGCATTCTGGATGAACATAAGTGTCTTATCAAGTAAATCTTTATTTTCTTGATCAGAATACCAATTTCGTTATTTATCTATTTTTTTCTTCTGATGTTATGTTCAGTGAATTATGGATATTATCTACAAACGTATTCTCAGTTATTATTATGGGAAAAAGTATGTATTTATGGTCGTACAACATTAAGAATGAATTCGCTGAACCAGAGTTTTTGCTTTACGTCCCAATGGATGTTAACCCTTAATAGAATTTATTGTCAGATGATCAGAATATTCTTAGTTGTCTTACATAACTAAAATTCTATTATAGTGAAATAGGATTAGTTAATCGTTGTTCACAAGGTAAATCATAGTAATTGTAAGTAATCCTGAAGTGTATAAAAGCGTTCACTACCACATGAGCATCCATAACCTCACAGGTTAGCAGTGTAACTATACGATTTGTCAGTCTGCAAACCTATAATCTAAAAGTTAGCGTTCCATGGTCAGACATCAAACCCGAATAAATAGTCAGTGAGATTAATGTATAGGATGATAAAGCATCTGAAAAAAATCATCCACAAATAAAATTATTGTAATAGACTTCTTAGGGATTCCGGTAATAATTCTCATTAATCTTATCCACTGGGAATCGCTTTTGATAATATCTAGAATAACAACGAGGATATTAACATTAAACATTCTAGAATAGATAATGCCAAATTATCAAAATCAATGAAAATATTCATGTAAAATTGGACATTTTGTACTGTGATGTAATTTAAAATAATAATTTTACTACTAACTACTCAACTCAAAATTATTTTACTGTTCACTATAGATTTATGAATGAATTAAATGACATTTCTTTTCTTCATTACAACATATTCATTGTGAGTTAGTTTATATCCCGGGTTATATAACCACATACATGTATTGATGAGTACCTGGAGTAATTACAGATTGGGTATGTATATGAAGGAGGATTTCAGATAAAAATAAATTCTTAAATTTACCTGTAGTATCAACTAATCATTGGAATGAATTTACTGAATATCTTGAAATTTGTAGAGTAGTTGCCGGGTGTACACTGATAAAAAGCTGAATATTTGATAAATAATTTAAATTAAAAAACACTCTGAAAAGTTATTTACTGCCTAAACTTAGAATATCCTATTTTTATGGCAACTATCATGCTTTATCTATGCAATAGTCGAAATACCTAGCGATAGTTAAAATGACCAATTTATGATGAGGTCGTCAATTTATCAATGCTCTCTGTAGTTGGAATAATTTCCTACATGTATGAAAAATACTTTTGTAACGGCATTTATATATTATTTTTGATAATAATCATTATCTATACATATATAACAACGTTTAATTAACGACCTACCTCTTTCACACTTTTCTTAATGATATCATCAAATTTTGAACACATTGGTGTGGTCAATCCAAGTTTTGCGGTTCCAGATGCCAACAAAACGCCAAAATTTTTTCGAGCAGATGATTCTAATTCTCTTGGTTTTAAGTAAAATATGACGAGAATATGAAAGCCATTTATGAAATTCTCACAAGAGTCTTTATGTAGATCCAAAATAAATTTCAGGTTAACATCATGTTAAAGCATTCTAGGAGTCTTAGTTAATCTGCATAAGTTGATACGTAATTAGTAAACTATATAACTTATCTTGAGATTCTTTTATGATACATCTAAACCATGTCGAATTTCCTGATCAGGATTTTGATTCCAGGGCATTTGCAAACAAAAAAGGGAGTAAAACAGCTATAAGCATGTGAAATGACTATCGTCAATTGTGATATTTCTCATCAAAAAGCAACGCACTGGCTTTATGTAACGAACCTGCGGCAAAATTGAGAAACTTTCTAACCAATGATGATTTATTTGCAATTATTATAAGGATTCCCACAGTAAAACCAAAAGAACTTACTGTCAGTCATTAGAATGCAATTTATTTAGTTCAGTAATTTTCACGAAAATCAACTTTTAAGTTGAATCGATTTTGAGTAAAAAAGTTAATCGTCTGACGGATAATTGATTTAATGTTATTGTTGATATAAGAAGAAACCGAATTAAGAAATCTTCATTTTCAAATAGAATCTCATCATATCTGTGGAATACTAGATGGGTTTCACAGATGAATATGAAATCAACACTAATTAAATATGAGCGATTTGATTAACAATTACAATTGATTAAATAAGTTGGACCCATGATGTGACTGTATCCACAGAATTTCATCGGTTATCACATTCAAACTGAAGTTTCAGAAACATTGGCTTTCAAGATGCTATCAATTTTCTGCCTAAATTACTTTTACTAAGTAGAAAATAAATTAGTTTGAGTTTATCCTCAGAACATATACAACTGGCACTACAAACGAACCATTTAAATAGATTATAATTGTACTGTATTAAGAAAATTTCTAAAAATGAAGTGACTCAATAATAATTAACCCAATTAAAGTAGATCATCAAGACTTTTTGCATTACAGTGTTATTAATTCATTTACAATCATCCTCAGAAAAGACTATATACGACAATAAATTTTGTGTAATCAATTCTACCTCATTTTATGTCCATTCCAAATAATTGGATTTTCGAATTCTGATCTAGTCCGTTCGGTGACTGTAAATAATGCTAGCGGCCACAAAAATCTTCTTAGACTATAAGGTATAATTGTTCCTTTCAAAACTGATACAACTTGATGAGTGAAACTTTGTGCTACATTTTCATTTGAATAATTTAAATTGATAAGTTTAACAGAATTTGAATAAGATGATTTACGACAAATTTGATCTAATATACTACCAAGACACTCAGTGAAACAACTTGACCCAGTTTCAATTGACGCCATCCATCCTTCTGGTCCTAAATATATTGTGAGTAAATATAAAATAAAATGGATAAGTGTTACATAATATGCTGATAATTATTAGCTAAAATATTGATAAATATTGGTATAATGAGAAAGGTATTATAAATATTTGGAGACTTCATTTAGAAAACACAATGTTTCTACATTGATATTTTTAAAGTTATCCTTTACAAAATAGCGATGGCGTTTGAAGCGAACGGCACTAAGTTCGATTGCGGTAGTGAATATCAACTCTGGAATGCAGGTGCATCCAGATGAGGAGTCCCTAATGAGACGAAACGAGCGTCCTGGATTCCACTGCTAGCCACTATCGATATTTGCTTAAAAAGCTTGTGACTTAAGGCTATATCTAGGCGATCTACACAGGAAGCACATATGCCAAAAAGAAACTGATCAATCGCAATCCTAAATAACAATGGAAAGAAACAAGTAAAACAGCATCAAGTGAAGTTAATAACAATAGATGAGCAATGTACCGAAATGGCAAGTACATGAACGCATGACAGTTTTACGTTACCAAAGTTGAACATTGCACAAAGCATAAGGAAAATTATGAACTTTAGGATTGTTTATCAGTATTAAACCCTATAAAATCATCATCTTATTAATGAAAATATGGTTATCAGTATGAGGTTGTGGAGATTTTTGATTTTAGAGTCTAGCTGCAATCAATCTACAAAGTTGTGCGACCATTTTCTATTGTCTTCGGTGAATAAATGCCTCACAACCGACACGGATTAGCTCTACTAGTCACCACTTTTCACTAGAACTCTTAGAATCCCCTCTCGAATCTTGTCATATGCTCACTAGTGACTAACTTCGAGAGAGGATTCTAGGAGTTTTAGTGAGAAGCTGTGACCAAAAGAGTTCGACCGTTTTCAGTTTATAAGCACTTGAAGAACAAAATAGATGAATTGTTGTTATTCTGCTGAGATCCATATCCTTGCCATATTTTTGGATTCATAAGTGAGAAAACTTTCACGAAACTGAGTTTATAAGTCTTTACACGGCAAATAAGTCACTCATAGTTCATCTAACAAGTAGATAATAACACTTTTTCAATTAGTTTGCATAAATATCAGTACTGAGCATAAAAGGAATCATCAATGTCTTACTAATTTATTGTCTACGTACAAATGAACAATATCCTCTTGGTGTTTCTTCTATTTATCAGTATCTTTTCATGTCTAAATACTGCCATTTAAAGTATGTAGGTTAAAACTTCACGGAATTTTAATGTATGTTACAGTTCAGTATCTGAAGAAACTGAATTATTCCTAAACATAGAAATAGCTTAACACTACAAATCAAGTAGTTTTTGATGATTTAAATGTTGAAAATTATGATTGTTTATCATCTGACAATTAAATTAGTTCATTTTTTTCCCGAAAATTAAGAATACTATGGTATTCTTCTAAGTTAAGTATCTTGTTTAAACCATATTCCATACACGTATTTTACCTGTTAAGAAATTATGTCAAGCGTAATATATGTGTTGAAACCAAATTAACTACAAAAAAAGTTATATTTAAGATAAGCATAATGATACATCATGATTTACACGAGTAAGAGCTATCCTCATTTGGGATTTGAGATTCAAATTGTAGTCAAGAGGAATTACTTGCTATTCTAAGATGGTTTACATCAATCGACAAACTCTCACTTTATTCAAACTAATATTTTTGGTAGGCTGCAAATATTTCGTTGTGCAATCTAAACAATCCATATTTTCTAAAATAAGATATCAACTATCAAATCATTAGCTCTAAAATAAGCAGTTGTAGTCTTACAACTACACTCTATGTTCCTTTCAGAAATCAATGTTTCGATATGTACCATCAATTATGGTTAATAGTTCAAATGTCCTCTTTCTCTGTTAATCATTAAAAAAAAACTCATCGTGTAACTATTATATGCAGAATTATATTTACGAATAGTTATGTTTATATTTATGTTTGTAGATACTGACTAAGTAACAAGAATGTAGCATCTCATTTTAGTCATTAAGCTAATCATACACATGTAAATTGATTTATTCTTCAACATTAAGTACTTGGCTGCATTTATTTCTTCTTCTTGGATGTTGTATCTTTTTTTTCTTGTCTCCCTCGTGTTGATGACTATCTCACACTTTTTCACATGCAAATTATCCTTATTAATAAATATAATACTAAATGAATGAAATTTACACCATATATGAAAATGATGCTTTTATCAAATTTTTAGATGTTTATCACAAATACACCAATAGGTGTACATACATGTTTGCGTACATACATAAAATCACACACAAAAAAACGATGATAGAAGTACAAAATGTACGAGAAAACTATTTGTCCAATTCGGTTTGCATGTTTATACTTATATAAAGAAACAGACCTCATATATATCAAACTTATCCTTATTTATCTGTACCCACGCATTGTATAGATAGATATAGAAGATAAAGTTTATTGGTAGAGCATGTTCATATCATCCAATATATGTATATATATATATATATAATGAGTGATGTAATACTAAACAAATAGTGTGAACTAACAGATATGGACTTAGTCTTTCATTTGATTATCTCTAATAACATTAACATGGATTTTAAAAAAGTCTAATAATATTCATACAACTATTTTATAAATTAAAGTACTAATTGATACATTTTCATTTACAATAATTCTTGGATTAAAATAAAACAAAAACAAAATCCATTGAAATAATGATCATAATAACGATAGTATTATTTTTATTATTTCATATAAGTATTCATTCATTACCTATGTTGAACAAAACCTTAAATCAACATAATGAAACATTATCCAATCTAAATGATAAACAATTAAATAATAATAATAATAGAGAAATTATTCCTACTAATAATATCATTAATGATAATTATAACCAATTATTATTATTATTTAAAGATATTGCTTCAATACAAACATTTAATACAATAAATAACCTTATGAATAATAATAATAATAATAATAATAAAGAAAGTAATTATTCATTAAAAAATAATAATTTCAATCAAAAAATCAATAATTCAATTAAATTAAAACAAAATCAATTTATTGATAATTCATGTAATCATAAACAATGTTTTACAATATTTACAATAAAAGAATTAAATGATAAACTAAACCATTCTAAAGGTAAATTTATTATTAATAAAAATAAAAATAATGAAATCTTATTACGTAATATAATATCTAATGAAATAATTAAAAATCAATTACTCAATAAAAATCTTACACAATTGATTATTGATTTAAATAATAATAATATGAAAGATTTATCATTATTAAAAATGTTTAATAATCAATCCTTTATACATTTATTACTTAGTATAAACAACGATACTATATTGAATAATTTAATCATAAAGAATATGATAACTAATTTGGATGATAAAGAAAATCGATCAATTGATCATTTAGATGATTATTATATTCAGAAAATTATTAATTTAACAGAAATGAATACTGATCATTCAATAAAAAAAGTGTCAAATATGAAAATCAATAAAGAAGAGGAATATGATAATGAAATCGATCAATTAATTGGTGAAGAACAAAGTTTCAATGAAGTACTTGGTAACAATAAGTTAGGGAAAAATTTAATAAAGAAAGAAATAAACATAAAAAATAAAAATAAATTAATAACAAATCATAATAGAATATTAATAAGAAACAAATATAGAAGAAAACGTTCAGCAAATAATATTGATTCAGAAGCATTCAATGCATATTCATCAAGTACAAAAAATATAAACAGAAACAACAAGCAAAAAAATAACCAAAAACAAATAAAAATAAACAATAAATACAAAATAAATAAAAGGATTAAAAAATACATTAACACAGATGAAGAAAACCATGACAAAATGAAGAATATCATAAAAGAATATAATAAGGATAATGATTATGAAAAAGAAACACCATCAAAAGATGAAACTAATGAGAATGAAAAAGGAAAATTAGAAGACAAAAGGATTACAGAAAACAAAGAAAAAACAGATGAAAATAAAACAAACAAGGAGGACGCGACAGAAGATTCGAATACAACGAAACAGATATCAATGAACAAAGAACAAATAACTGCAGCCTTAGATAAAACAGAAGATGTGCCAGTGATTCAGCACTCGAGTCCAGAAACTCCAGTATCCGAGGAAGTGATGGCTGTCTCTCCAGCTCCAACTGCAGATGTGTCAGTGATTCAGGACTCGAGTCCAGAAACTCCAGTATCCGAGGGAGTGACGACTGTCTCTCCAGCTCCAACTGCAGATGTGTCAGTGATTCAGGACTCGAGTCCAGAAACTCCAGTATCCGAGGAAGTGATGACTGTCTCTCCAGCTCCAACTGCAGATGTGTCAGTGATTCAGGACTCGAGTCCAGAAACTCCAGTATCCGAGGAAGTGATGACTATCTCTCCAGCTCCAACTGCAGATGTGTCAGTGATTCAGGACTCGAGTCCAGAAACTCCAGTATCCGAGGAAGTGACGACTGTCTCTCCAGCTCCAACTGCAGATGTGTCAGTGATTCAGGACTCGAGTCCAGAAACTCCAGTATCCGAGGAAGTGATGACTGTCTCTCCAGCTCCAACTGCAGATGTGTCAGTGATTCAGGACTCGAGTCCAGAAACTCCAGTATCCGAGGGAGTGACGACTGTCTCTCCAGCTCCAACTGCAGATGTGTCAGTGATTCAGGACTCGAGTCCAGAAACTCCAGTATCCGAGGAAGTGACGACTGTCTCTCCAGCTCCAACTGCAGATGTGTCAGTGATTCAGGACTCGAGTCCAGAAACTCCAGTATCCGAGGAAGTGACGACTGTCTCTCCAGCTCCAACTGCAGATGTGTCAGTGATTCAGGACTCGAGTCCAGAAACTCCAGTATCCGAGGAAGTGACGACTGTCTCTCCAGCTCCAACTGCAGATGTGTCAGTGATTCAGGACTCGAGTCCAGAAACTCCAGTATCCGAGGAAGTGACGACTGTCTCTCCAGCTCCAACTGCAGATGTGTCAGTGATTCAGGACTCGAGTCCAGAAACTCCAGTATCCGAGGAAGTGACGACTGTCTCTCCAGCTCCAACTGCAGATGTGTCAGTGATTCAGGACTCGAGTCCAGAAACTCCAGTATCCGAGGGAGTGACGACTGTCTCTCCAGCTCCAACTGCAGATGTGTCAGTGATTCAGGACTCGAGTCCAGAAACTCCAGTATCCGAGGAAGTGACGACTGTCTCTCCAGCTCCAACTGCAGATGTGTCAGTGATTCAGGACTCGAGTCCAGAAACTCCAGTATCCGAGGAAGTGACGACTGTCTCTCCAGCTCCAACTGCAGATGTGTCAGTGATTCAGGACTCGAGTCCAGAAACTCCAGTATCCGAGGAAGTGACGACTGTCTCTCCAGCTCCAACTGCAGATGTGTCAGTGATTCAGGACTCGAGTCCAGAAACTCCAGTATCCGAGGAAGTGACGACTGTCTCTCCAGCTCCAACTGCAAGTGTGTCAGTGATTCAGGACTCGAGTCCAGAAACTCCAGTATCCGAGGAAGTGATGACTGTCTCTCCAGCTCCAACTGCAGATGTGTCAGTGATTCAGGACTCGAGTCCAGAAACTCCAGTATCCGAGGAAGTGACGACTGTCTCTCCAGCTCCAACTGCAGCTGTGTCAGTGATTCAGGACTCGAGTCCAGAAACTCCAGTATCCGAGGAAGTGACGACTGTCTCTCCAGCTCCAACTGCAGATGTGTCAGTGATTCAGGACTCGAGTCCAGAAACTCCAGTATCCGAGGAAGTGACGACTGTCTCTCCAGCTCCAACTGCAGATGTGTCAGTGATTCAGGACTCGAGTCCAGAAACTCCAGTATCCGAGGAAGTGACGACTGTCTCTCCAGCTCCAACTGCAGATGTGTCAGTGATTCAGGACTCGAGTCCAGAAACTCCAGTATCCGAGGAAGTGACGACTGTCTCTCCAGCTCCAACTGCAGATGTGTCAGTGATTCAGGACTCGAGTCCAGAAACTCCAGTATCCGAGGAAGTGATGACTGTCTCTCCAGCTCCAACTGCAGATGTGTCAGTGATTCAGGACTCGAGTCCAGAAACTTCAGTATCCGAGGAAGTGATGACTGTCTCTCCAGCTCCAACTGCAGATGTGTCAGTGATTCAGGACTCGAGTCCAGAAACTCCAGTATCCGAGGAAGTGACGACTGTCTCTCCAGCTCCAACTGCAGATGTGTCAGTGATTCAGGACTCGAGTCCAGAAACTCCAGTATCCGAGGAAGTGACGACTGTCTCTCCAGCTCCAACTGCAAGTGTGTCAGTGATTCAGGACTCGAGTCCAGAAACTCCAGTATCCGAGGAAGTGACGACTGTCTCTCCAGCTCCAACTGCAGATGTGTCAGTGATTCAGGACTCGAGTCCAGAAACTCCAGTATCCGAGGAAGTGACGACTGTCTCTCCAGCTCCAACTGCAGATGTGTCAGTGATTCAGGACTCGAGTCCAGAAACTCCAGTATCCGAGGAAGTGATGACTGTCTCTCCAGCTCCAACTGCAGATGTGTCAGTGATTCAGGACTCGAGTCCAGAAACTCCAGTATCCGAGGAAGTGATGACTGTCTCTCCAGCTCCAACTGCAGAAGTGTCAGTGATTCAGGACTCGAGTCCAGAAACTCCAGTATCCGAGGAAGTGATGACTGTCTCTCCAGCTCCAACTGCAGATGTGTCAGTGATTCAGGACTCGAGTCCAGAAACTCCAGTATCCGAGGAAGTGACGACTGTCTCTCCAGCTCCAACTGCAGATGTGTCAGTGATTCAGGACTCGAGTCCAGAAACTCCAGTATCCGAGGAAGTGATGACTGTCTCTCCAGCTCCAACTGCAGATGTGTCAGTGATTCAGGACTCGAGTCCAGAAACTCCAGTATCCGAGGAAGTGACGACTGTCTCTCCAGCTCCAACTGCAGATGTGTCAGTGATTCAGGACTCGAGTCCAGAAACTCCAGTATCCGAGGAAGTGACGACTGTCTCTCCAGCTCCAACTGCAGATGTGTCAGTGATTCAGGACTCGAGTCCAGAAACTCCAGTATCCGAGGAAGTGACGACTGTCTCTCCAGCTCCAACTGCAGATGTGTCAGTGATTCAGGACTCGAGTCCAGAAACTCCAGTATCCGAGGAAGTGACGACTGTCTCTCCAGCTCCAACTGCAGATGTGTCAGTGATTCAGGACTCGAGTCCAGAAACTCCAGTATCCGAGGAAGTGATGACTATCTCTCCAGCTCCAACTGCAGATGTGTCAGTGATTCAGGACTCGAGTCCAGAAACTCCAGTATCCGAGGAAGTGACGACTGTCTCTCCAGCTCCAACTGCAGATGTGTCAGTGATTCAGGACTCGAGTCCAGAAACTCCAGTATCCGAGGAAGTGATGACTGTCTCTCCAGCTCCAACTGCAGATGTGTCAGTGATTCAGGACTCGAGTCCAGAAACTCCAGTATCCGAGGAAGTGATGACTGTCTCTCCAGCTCCAACTGCAGATGTGTCAGTGATTCAGGACTCGAGTCCAGAAACTCCAGTATCCGAGGAAGTGACGACTGTCTCTCCAGCTCCAACTGCAGATGTGTCAGTGATTCAGGACTCGAGTCCAGAAACTCCAGTATCCGAGGAAGTGACGACTGTCTCTCCAGCTCCAACTGCAGATGTGTCAGTGATTCAGGACTCGAGTCCAGAAACTCCAGTATCCGAGGAAGTGACGACTGTCTCTCCAGCTCCAACTGCAGATGTGTCAGTGATTCAGGACTCGAGTCCAGAAACTCCAGTATCCGAGGAAGTGATGACTGTCTCTCCAGCTCCAACTGCAGATGTGTCAGTGATTCAGGACTCGAGTCCAGAAACTCCAGTATCCGAGGAAGTGACGACTGTCTCTCCAGCTCCAACTGCAGATGTGTCAGTGATTCAGCACTCGAGTCCAGAAACTCCAGTATCCGAGGAAGTGATGACTGTCTCTCCAGCTCCAACTGCAGATGTGTCAGTGATTCAGGACTCGAGTCCAGAAACTCCAGTATCCGAGGAAGTGATGACTGTCTCTCCAGCTCCAACTGCAGATGTGTCAGTGATTCAGGACTCGAGTCCAGAAACTCCAGTATCCGAGGAAGTGATGACTGTCTCTCCAGCTCCAACTGCAGATGTGTCAGTGATTCAGGACTCGAGTCCAGAAACTCCAGTATCCGAGGAAGTGACGACTATCTCTCCAGCTCCAACTGCAGATGTGTCAGTGATTCAGGACTCGAGTCCAGAAACTCCAGTATCCGAGGAAGTGACGACTGTCTCTCCAGCTCCAACTGCAGATGTGTCAGTGATTCAGGACTCGAGTCCAGAAACTCCAGTATCCGAGGAAGTGACGACTGTCTCTCCAGCTCCAACTGCAGATGTGTCAGTGATTCAGGACTCGAGTCCAGAAACTCCAGTATCCGAGGAAGTGACGACTGTCTCTCCAGCTCCAACTGCAGATGTGTCAGTGATTCAGGACTCGAGTCCAGAAACTCCAGTATCCGAGGAAGTGATGACTATCTCTCCAGCTCCAACTGCAGATGTGTCAGTGATTCAGGACTCGAGTCCAGAAACTCCAGTATCCGAGGAAGTGACGACTGTCTCTCCAGCTCCAACTGCAGATGTGTCAGTGATTCAGGACTCGAGTCCAGAAACTCCAGTATCCGAGGAAGTGACGACTGTCTCTCCAGCTCCAACTGCAGATGTGTCAGTGATTCAGGACTCGAGTCCAGAAACTCCAGTATCCGAGGAAGTGATGACTGTCTCTCCAGCTCCAACTGCAGATGTGTCAGTGATTCAGGACTCGAGTCCAGAAACTCCAGTATCCGAGGAAGTGACGACTGTCTCTCCAGCTCCAACTGCAGATGTGTCAGTGATTCAGGACTCGAGTCCAGAAACTCCAGTATCCGAGGAAGTGACGACTGTCTCTCCAGCTCCAACTGCAGATGTGTCAGTGATTCAGGACTCGAGTCCAGAAACTCCAGTATCCGAGGAAGTGATGACTGTCTCTCCAGCTCCAACTGCAGATGTGTCAGTGATTCAGGACTCGAGTCCAGAAACTCCAGTATCCGAGGAAGTGACGACTGTCTCTCCAGCTCCAACTGCAGATGTGTCAGTGATTCAGGACTCGAGTCCAGAAACTCCAGTATCCGAGGAAGTGACGACTGTCTCTCCAGCTCCAACTGCAAATGTGTCAGTGATTCAGGACTCGAGTCCAGAAACTCCAGTATCCGAGGAAGTGACGACTGTCTCTCCAGCTCCAACTGCAGATGTGTCAGTGATTCAGGACTCGAGTCCAGAAACTCCAGTATCCGAGGAAGTGACGACTGTCTCTCCAGCTCCAACTGCAGATGTGTCAGTGATTCAGGACTCGAGTCCAGAAACTCCAGTATCCGAGGAAGTGACGACTGTCTCTCCAGCTCCAACTGCAGATGTGTCAGTGATTCAGGACTCGAGTCCAGAAACTCCAGTATCCGAGGAAGTGACGACTGTCTCTCCAGCTCCAACTGCAAATTTATCAGTGATTGACAATTTACTTATATCAACGATCGGTTCCACCGTTTCTCATGATCATGATTTTTATTTTGATCGTAGTCCTGTTGGGGGAATTATTAAGTCTTTAAACAACGAAGTATTAGAAAATAGTGATAAAGTTTCTCCGCATGTGTTTTCAACTGACATTCCAAGGAACAGAAATATTAACATATATATTAGTGGACCTTATATTCATGAGCATAATCGGCTTGAATTTAAATATGGTTTAACAATTGGTTTCATTCTATTATGTATTCTGGTTATTATGTTAGTTCTGTCTACAATTCTTGTTCTCATTTGGATTCGTCATCGACGTAATAAATATTCTGGTAGTATAACCCTGTCACATATTGAAGAAAACGATAACAATGTACAAAATACGTCAGTAGGAAAAAATAGATTTCAATCCAGAAACAGTACACATGATTCATTTACAGCTGTAGAAGGAATAGTTAATGAAAGCAAAAGTAACAAATCTACTAATTCAATGAAAACACCAGCAATACAAAAACGTCTTGAACTACGACGAAAACAACATATAAAAGCTAAAATATTAGCTCATGAAGCTTTACTTTCCACTGATGATTGTTCTTCATGTGATTGTGGTTTTACTTTTAAATCTCCCAACCCTGAACGTCTCTGTTTAACATCGAATTTAGATAATGATGTTATATTAACTGGTGCATGGCGTAGACAAAGCAATGATAGCGGTGATAGAAAAAACCAAACAAATCAAAATATATTAAACTCTGTTGAACATACATATGATAAAGAAGATGAATTTCCAGATACTCCTTCTATAAATAATAATAATTTTATTAAAAATAATGAAACCACATCTCATTATCAAGAGATAAGTATGAAGAAACCCAGTATAAGTTCAAAAGCATGGAAATATATTGATGAAAATTAGGATTAAATGATTTAATATCTCTATATATTTCTTTATGTTTGCAAAAATAAAACTGTAAGCTCAAAATTATATATTAATTTTATATTACATTACATTAAGTTGAAATTTCATTTTACTTCATCGATAGTATTTTCAGTCATCTCTAATAAAATTTCAAACTTTGACGAGTACTACTTATAATAATAATAATAGTAATATGATAAATACTAAATACGTACATAGATTTAATGAAGTGTTTATTATAAATTTTGCATATCATTAGATAGTACATACATTCCAGATTGAAGTTATATAGTAATAATCACTTAAAATGTTAATTTAAACATTTAAACTACATTTCTTTTTCTCTTTATTTATCCCATAAACAAAATAAGTAATCATTAATTATTAGAACATTTTCTTCTACTCTAAGCTTTTGTTTATTGTCAAATTTCTTTTTTTTTGTAAGAAAATACTTTTAAGGAATTATTATCATCGTTTTCTGTAAAAACCAGAAAAATTTCCCTTTTTTGTTTTGTGATCAATAACCGATATATTTTTTGATTTTTTTTCTCTCTGAACTCATATGAAGTAATTGTCGTTCAGTTATAAAGTGTAATTAAAAAAGAAAAAGGAAAAAAGAAAAATAAATTTTTTTAATGTTTAATTATTTATTAATTAGTTTTATGCTTATTTTGTTTGTTTTTCTGATATTACTTAAACAACAAAAATAAATGTATTATTCAATAAAATTGAGTTTTAAATATTTAATAAATTTGATTAAAACGTCCTGATCATTTTTGTAAGCAATGACGGATAGTGACTAGCAATGGAATCCAGGACGTGCGTTTCGTCTTAAAACTCAATACAAGCAAAACAATATCAAGTGAATTTAATTTCACCCCATTGCATAAGCAAGTGGCTATCAGGACTCAGTAGCTGAGTGGATAACTCGATGGCGTTCGAGTCCCATAGTGAACATCAACTCTGAGATGTAGGTACATCCAGCTAACAAGTCCCAAATGGGATGAAACGCGCGTCTTGGATTCCACTGCTAGCCACTATCCATCATTGCTTACAAAAAGCTTGTGAATTGCCTTAATTCACAAGCTTAATATCGAGGCATACGCACATTATGCATATATGCCAATAACAGACTGATCAATTGCAGTCTTAAACCTCAATAGGAAGATACAAGCCAAACAATACCAAGTGACTTTCTGATCATTTATGTATTTACTGACGAGACTGTAATATATAAACGAACTAATCAGATTTAAGATAACAGATCTTGAATTTTGGCGCGAAATTAATTTGTTTATTTGACAAAATGGAGTTTTTGTATTATATTTGATATCAGTTGATGATGAATACTCTATATCTAATTCCTAACCCTAACTATCAACTATAAATATTAATTCTTATTCTTCACACTGGTTTATAACCCTCATTTAACTGTATTATTTAGGTTGACATTTTCAAGGTCTTGCTAGTGTCACTCAAAGGTCGTCCATAAATTATAGTCTCATCCAATTACTTTTAATAAATATAATAAATTATTAAACTTAATTGAACTATTTTACTATGACAGATAATCTGCCTAGAAACTAATTTTAATAGACTCTTATTTATAATAATATTGATCATATTTCTAAGGTATAAAAACTATTAATGTTGTAAGAACTTTATATACGTTTTAAGTATTTTTTGGTAGTTACTAATGTTAATCGTTTAAAGATCCCCATCATATTAAAAGACTAATATTTCGACGACGAATATTCTTTTCGATAGATTCTTTTCAGGTTCTATAATTATATATTCAAATTAATCATCCGAAAAATAATCAGGCTAAAGGATTGTTAAACAAATGTTGAAAATAATTCTGAGATATTGAAGTATATTTGCTATTCTATAACTAGATTCCAGAGAAGTTACATTTTCTTCAGTTAAGTAAATATAGTACCCTGAAATGTCCAAATAATTATCGGTCCTAATAACATGCTTGTTGCATACGGATCGGTTTTCTAAGCACAGTAACTCATGGAATATCGCTTGTTTTAAAAGTCATCTTTATTAGACTTAAAAAATAGGATAGAAATTATTACGTGAAAAGCATTGATTTACTTTGACCTAAATAAATGACGCGCTGTGAACAGTTTCATATTTTCGAATGTTACATCCTGATCACTGCCGAAGCCTATCGTCAATCAAAACTTTTTAATACATCTATTGGCAGGCTTGGTGTTGTCATGTTTTTGGGATAACGAAATCCAAATGGATCGTTGGCACAAGGTCTTACTTTGAACTGAGATACCTACTTTCGGAATCTCTGTTTCAAAAAACATTTGCACTTATTTTGACTAGCAGAGGAACTTGTGATTCAGGCTACTGACTTGCTAAGCCACGTGACCAAAAAATGTTGTATCAAATGTGACTTGGTTAAGCTTAAAACCAGTAGTGAGCTTATCAAAATCCATTGATCAAACAAATGTCATGTGGTTTATATTTAATCATAAGCTTGTAAGTAAATCGGTGAACTATGGGACTGTAATTGAACTTTCTGTCAATAGATGAACACATACTATTCATCTTAGTTTTAAGATGTTTTCTTAATAATGCACAATAACTTCATGATTCTAATGGTGAACATGAGTAAAGTGATATTTACTACAACATAAAACAGTTGCAGTATTGAAAAATGAAAATTACAAGCCATTATTTAAGATGGTAGGAAATAGTGAGTAAGGTTAATAGTAAATTAAAATATATAAAAAAAATATTAATTACCTCAGATAATTGTAGGTTGTGACAATTTAGAGCAAAAGAAGATATGTACATGAAGAGTACTGGATAATTTTTCAGAGAGAAATGAGTGTTAGTTTATTGGGTCTCCAGTCAGCCAAAATTTGAAGTGTTGAATGTGTCCTACTAAATGTGTAGTTCATGTATTCCAGTGCTATTCATTTTAACGTTTACGAAGACTAAGCAACTTATTGTACGGACAAAAATAATTTCATACCGTATTATTAACAAAACGTTTGTTTTCCATAAAGGCATCTACGCTATTTATCCATCTAATCAAAATTCAAACTAGCTCTTCCATCGCACACGCAACAACAAATGCAGGAGAAAACGACCAATGTAACAGTAGCCTCAGCACTAACTTCAGAATTTTGAACACAAGTGTCAAGACAGTTCCACTGTATATGGCGGAAACTTGGAGAACTACGAAAGCCATCATCCAGAACATACAAGTGTTTATTAACAGCTGTTTACTCAAAATAATTCGGATCCGTTGACCAGACATTATCAACAACGACATACTATGGGGGAGAACAAACCAGATTGCAGTGGAGGAAGAAATCAGGAAGAAGCGCTGGAGGTGGATAGGACACATTGCGGAAAGCGCCCAACTACATTACAAGGCAAGCTGTCACTTGGAATGCTCAAGGCCAAAGGAGGAAAGGAAGACCAGAGAACACATTACGTCGAAAAACGGAGACAGACGTGAGAAAAATGAACAACAATTGGATGGAACTAAAAGGAAAGGCCCATGAAAGTGTGAGTTGGAGAATGATGGTCGGTGGCCTATGCTCTATTAAAGGTAACAGGCTTAACTAAGTAAGTAATAACTTCAGAAATTGGAACGAATGTTCTTCCCTCACTTATCTTCACTTTCTTATCGAGGTAACTTCCAAACAGTTGCAATAAATATTTAAAGTTTCGTTATGGAGATATAAAAATATTCTCATTTGCCAGAAATCACTTGATAAATCATAATTTAAGTAATAGTATTCTATGGTTATACTTAATTAAAATAATAATGACCGCAATTCTTTCCATTATTACTTCTTAATCCCGTTCAACTAAATGTAGTAAATTAAAATTAAGATCCAGATAGTAAATGTGTAAAAGATAGTAATTTTTTATTACCATTATTCATTTTCTTACTTTATTGGGTAAGGCGCAGTTCGTGTAGATAAAAACTATTCAATCATATGCAAATATCTCAAAGATAGATTTCCGGAAAATATGGTCGAAGGCCGTAGTTTATACCCGTCGACATTGACTATGTAACTCATCTACGCTACTGGATGAGAATAACTCTGCATTACACAGTGGATGATATTTAAGATGTGATTCATTTATTTAGCTCATATCATGATACTCGGGGATTTAGGGTCAAACTGATTTTGAGTCCTGTGAGCATACTTCTGAGGTGTTAGAAACTAGTACAGAACAGCTGTCCGGCACATGATTATTATATATAACAGTCAGTGGTAGGACCTATCCACAAATTGTGAGAAGTTTCGTTTTGCTGCATCGAACAGACGTCCAAATTACGGTATTTATTTTATTTTATTTAGTTTTGATGACATTCGAAACATGAGTGAGTCACACCAGCTTTGTAGTAAATAAAAATGTTAAAGGTTGATTGCTGCAATTAAAAATTTACCCTACCACTTATTTACTATCACATTCATTTACAAGTCTGAGAAGTATAAGTATTCAGTATCAATGCATTTAAGTAAAAATTTACTTTCTGATTAGACGAATTGTTTGAATTATCAGTTTACAGACATAGATTTCATTTGAGTGTGATTGCATTATCAAAGGTGAATTAAAGTAACCATAATCACCTGATTTTTTCTTCAACCATTTCTGACAAGCGATTAGCTTTTAGTTTCTAGCCATTTTTAGACACGTTTGAATGCTCAGTGATACTACTACATGCCTAAAATATATTATTCAGAGAAATTTAAATTGTATTTTGTTCTTCCATGTCTAGTAACAGTGACTGCAAAAATTATCAGCTTTACTTTTAGGTTACTTCCAACTAATTAAGTAGTATGTTATGTATCTTAAAAATAAAGCAGTCATTTGACGATGAAGCTACCAATTCAAAACGGAAGTTAGTCTTTATATGATGCAGTAAATTTTTAAATATTTTATGCTTTAGGGGGTATTTGATCATATCTAAGACACTGTTAGAGAGAAATCTTTTCTTTGACGAACCATCTTTAATCCTTATTCAGTGACATAGTAGGTCACCTTTATTTGTAACTAAAAATACTTTTAGTTACAAACCGAAGACATCGCTTGTAATGGTATAGTATACAGTTGTTAGCTTTATAGACATAATAAATTGTTTGAATCCGGTCTTTCAATGAAAAATATCCGTTCAGTCAGTCAAATTTATTTAACTATGAATTTTAAAAGTTTGAAGAATTCCATATCATAAATTCTCTACTATTAAAATAATAATAATTATTATTATTTATAAATCAAGTTTTTAAGGGTCTCTAAATGTTAGGAGTGATTTTTAAATCCCATGATCTTGTTTTAGACTGACTTATCTTTAAGGACAACCATTAATACAAAACATTATTTTGAGTGTATTATAATCATAGATGATGGTCGCTTGCAGTGGACTCATGTTTCGTCTTATGTGGGACTCGTCAGCTGGATATACCTGCATCCAATAAGAGACTGATCAATTTCAATCCTAAACATCAATAGGAAGATTCAACATCTAATACGAAAATAAATTATTGTTCATAAAATACTATTCATATCTTATTAAAATTGTAAGTGTTTAATACACATAGTTTACTAAATAAATAAACAATCGAATATTGAAGATCTAATTTCAGCTAACAAATTGGTGAAAATTTCCTTTGATAAGTGTGAATAAATTAAAGTTGATAGAAAAATTAAACTGAAATTTATTTTTTCTACTTTAAAGCTTCTA